AAATGATCGAACAAAACCCAATATGACTCTTGGAAACACATTTCGCATCACAAGTTCTATTTACTTTGATGATTGTTAAAATTGTAATCGCTTTGATATTAAAACATTCCTGCATATAAAGTCAGTCATTCAGTTTGTTATATTGTATGTTTTCATACTACTTTTGGCAGGTCTGGATGATTAAATTTGGGGCTGGTGTAAAGGTCGGATGCAGAATGGGTTAGGGGTTGGTGGGGTTGAGGGTGGGTGTGGATTAAGGGTAAGTTGGGTGGGGTGCAGTTAGGATAAGGGTTGTACGTAGAGTGGGGTTGAGGGGGAATGTGAATTAGAGTAGATCGGGAGTGAGGCTGGGTAATGGTTGTACCTGGGTAGGATCAAAGGGGACGTAGCGCTGGCGGATCGGGGGAAGAATATATATTAATATAAATGAAAGAAAAGGAAAAGCGCCCCCTAGCGTCAATTAAGGTCTCAATCCCAACTTTTGGAGTTTGAAATGACAGGCCGACTGGTCAGTCGGGCCTGTCTCATTGGCTCCCCTGAAAATTGCGATATGGATCAGGCGATAAGGGGTGGTTCAGATTGCGTACTATTGTGAATTTGGGGTGGTGAACGGTGGGTGCGTTCATTGTTGATGGGTGTTGAGGCGGGTAGGGGTCGAGGATGGGTGAGGCAGTCAAGCTGTATGGAGTGAGAGTTGTATCGGAGTCCCTTACCCACCTTAGCTTACAGGCCTGTATGTCTCCCCACCGCTCAGGGGCAGGGCGTGGCAGGAACTTGGTGGAGGCGGGTGTGACACCTCATCCGACGTTTTTGTTTTCAAAGTGGTCCATTGTTTTCCGAACTTTGTCTTACTGTTGACAAACAGGTCAACCTTAACAGCTGCACCTAGCATCAGTCCTGTCTTCTTTCAACAGCGCCCCCTTTGTCTCAAACCGAGGTTGGTTTGAGCTTTAAGTTTCCCACACTCCTACCCCTCACCCCCCCCCCCCCCACCCCCAAAAATGGAGCAATCTGGATCCAGAGGTATAGCCTAACTAGCATGAGGGCTTGGCTGGGGTGACGCCGGACGGAAGGCTTGACCCAGAAATTACTTATGAGAGCGGTTTGAGAGGCAGGGGTTGGCTTCGGTGTATATGCTAGGAGAATATAAAACACACGTTCAAACACCCCTCACCACCCAGCTCCAACCTGCACTAGATGAACCCAAGCCAACTCAAAGAAGGAAAGAAGTGTTGTTAAAATTCGAAGCCCTTCCAAACACCCTGCCTCTCCACCGCCCACTACAATTGCACGTCAAATCAACAGAGGGCGGTATGCAAGTTCAGTCTATCGCGGCAGGACTAGGTACGGTGCGATAGGGTGGTTAGCAAAGGATGAAATAACGTGAACAAGCTAAGACATGACAGTGCTGTGGGGGTGGGGGGGGGGTGAACGGGGGAAAACACGAGAAGAAGCCGATGCTGGGAAAATAGGCGAGGTTTAGGAAATGGGGTTGTTCGTGTCGGAGCGGGAAGGTATATCAATTATTCTCATCACGACCGTACAATGGTATTTTACACAATTATTGACTGCTGTGAGTGGTGTAGTGAATCAAGCCCGAGGTGATCCGTTGAGCATTTTTTTCCCGAGATATGAAGCCGAGGGAAAATGTTAAAACTCAACAGCGCCCGCTACCGCTCAGATCTGTACCTGTACTGTTTGAGTCGTATTTAGACAATAACTGTGACGCACCCTGTAAACTAGCTTACGCTATACAAACATCTGCAGTAAATTTATGCGGTTACCTGGTAGTATAGAGGGGGCAATGACGTGCCGTTCATTTGCATAAAACCCCTTGTAACCCCCAGGCCCACTGGCTGGTACGGATGCCCCCGAAGAACTCTAAATATTGTGATTTCATCATCATCACTGAACGCAATACCAACTGATCAAGGTCCTAACAAGTCACGCCACTACTATACAGTTGTTTGAATTGGGATACCCACAAAATCGCATCACAGAAACGTTCAAACAGAATTGACATAAATCATATTCATATGTTCTTTTGCTTCAGCTTTGACTGATACTAAGCGAGTACAGATTGTCTTGATTGGTTCAAATAATTTCCAGAGTCTTACACTAAGGGAGATCAGTTACCATGGAAACTCAAACGTCTCTATTCATCTCCTGCTTTTCAGCCTCTGTCGTGCCTCTATGATGCCTCAGCTTTGCCAAGAGGCGACAGAGAAGGGGGACGGAGGACGGGTTAATTAGACCCGTCGATGGCTAGGTCTCTTCAACTGCTTTAGTGGTGGGGTCCTTATGGCGACTAGCTTGCTGGATCTTCTACCAGATGTCAGAGAGGAATTCCAAGACGTCTTCAAGAAACTGGATATCTACTCCCACTTCCTGCTGGCAGAGTTTTGAAAAGCCGTAGGGTTTTCCCTGATTCTCAGCAATGAGCAGGCTGTCCACAACTTTGAAGAGAGGTTTGGAGTTGGTGTGAAGGACATATGCCATGGCTCCCGGTCGGAAAAGCTCTTGACATATGCATTGTCTTCATACGTTTGGTCTCTTCACCTGCTGTGGTGGTGGCCTCTTCATGGCAACATGCTTGCTTGATCTTCGACTAAACGTCAGAGAGGAATTCCAAGACGTCTTCAACTTGAACCGGACATCTGCTCCCACTTCCCAATGACAGGGTTTCTAACAGCCGTCGGGTTCTTCCTGATTCCGGGCATTGAGCAGGCTGTCCACAACTTTCAAGAGAGGGGTGGAGTTGGTGTGAAGGACGAATGCCTCACCTGCTGATATCAAAGTGGACGGACCAGTACCGATGTTGCCGCGAAGAACAAGGACGGTCTGAGTACCGGTAAGTCCGCCCATAGGTTGGTCTTTCTGCCACTCGCCTTGTCTTTCCATTCCATCTTCGAAATGTCTCGCGCTCGGTCTACAAAGTTCCCTGTCTGGCCTCGATCGTTGGAATCTTCTCAGTCGCAGCCATTCACAAGACCATCTTAGCCGTGACTCCAGGGAATACACTGGTGCAGGAGAACCGAAGCAGGAAGTCCATCTGTCTGTCTGGCTTCGGCTTTGCCGCCATGGCTCCCGTCCGAATAGCTCTTGGCATCGTCCTCGTATCATACGAAGAGTGGAGAGCCTGGTGACCAGCGCCACCGGCGGTTCGCTCAGGAGGTCGCCACGTTCTTGTACGTCACGTTCTTTGTGATTCTTGAGCAGGAGATGTGCGAACCTGGGGACAGAATGCGGTTCTTTGCACCATTCTTGGATTTGGATCTGTCGTCGGAACCATTTTAATTAATCCTGAGAAAAATCCGTGATATAGATCGCCATTATAGTAGCGTCAGGCTCATGAAAGGAGCAACGAATACCACCTGCCCGCGAGCCAATTAATTAAGAATCTAATTACACCTTGTGCAACATCACTAGCGCTTTGAGTATCAATAATTGCTTGTTTTACTTTATACTACAAAGAGATGACAGTTTGTATTCAATGCATTATGTCAAGTAACAGCTGCAGTTTGAAATGAGTAAAAGTTGTGGTCAGTCTTGACTAGCTCGTCCTGCTGGAGCAGTGATAATGAGTGCTCGTACTATATTACTTGTATGTAAATGTTAGGGTCTTGCAAGGCTGCTAGTTACATCTAGTGTGTTTTGCACAAACATCAAAAACAAAACTACCAAGTTATTATGAAATATACCTTACTGGACCGTTAGTGAATGACAGCCTCAGAAAGCATCTTGTAAAATCATGGCACCTAGTGCTGCCATTCGTGAGACAATCTGTATTCAGCCCACCAGCGTTTGAAAAAAACTTGTTTTTTTTTTTTAAATACTGCCCTAGTGCACCATGTTTAGTTAGTCCGATTTTTTTGCAATCACTTACACACCTATGAATGGGTACAAGCCAGCTAGACTATACTTCCCTGACTATATGTCTATAAATTGCTCATCTTCATCTTAAGTGGGTCAGGGGGCCAGATTACAGGAACATGATTGTTTTTTCCCCAGCATTTAGGCTACGAACCCAAAACTTAAAAAAAAAATCAGTTTAACAACATTTGCTATAAAATGCTACCCCCCCCCCCCCCCAATCCATCTATTCTGGAAATTACCCCAAAAGCAAATGTTGTATAATATTCGTCGATTTACTTTGACGAATTGCAAAGAGTGACCACATTGATTTCTGATGCATTTTAAAAACTAAATTGAAGGGGTTCAGAGTCATTCTTGGGTCAAGTTTCAGTGGTTATTGGAACGACACAGGGCAGTACAGTTTATTCAAATCTGTATAAATATACATGTATTATATGTGGATACTAAAAACAATATTCTGTGGAGATTTAATTTGAACCCAGACAAAAAAATAATACGTTATTGAACTGAATTTTCTTGACACTTTGGGAGAGAAGTCATGGCGTTTCAGTGTGTAATCGTCGGGTGCCCCGCAGAAGGGCATATGAGCGTTCTGACGCAAAAATCATTTTCAAGAAAATTGCACTGAAAGTTTCCAATGTTCCCCCGCGCGCTTTATGACGAAAATGTTTAAATTTCATTAAAATAGAGGCAGTTTTCTACATATGCCCTTTTGCTGGGAACATTTTGGTCATTACGCGCTATTGCATAAGGGCATATGCACATATGCCCTTCTGCCGGGCACACAACGTGTTAATGTTGCTTCTCGTACCGTGATGGAGTTCAGTCATTCTTGAGGACATAAAATCAATGTCATTATATTAATGCACCCGGAGCTACAGATGTTCCAGTCCAGAAATTGTTTTCATGTATCCATTTAATAAACAAAAGACCAATTTCATTCGACTAATAGAGTATGTACACGTGTGCTTGCATGGATCTCTACGTCTCATTGTTCGCTAAAACAAACAAGAATTCTAATTATTACAAAGAACACTTCTTGCATGTTGTGCCACGCCACCCTAAGCCGGCCCGTAACAGCTGGGGGTCTCTTGGTTGGTCGCTGTGTTTGTTTGGTTGGTTATAAAACTGTCGCTGTACTAAACTAGGACCACTTTTCTGCAAGGGAAGAAATCGTCGCGTTTACGTGTCATAACCTTGGATCGTCGCCACAGATTGTTCTGCTTACACCTGAAATGGTAAGTGTTTAATAACTGGAATTTAGCTACAAGTACAATGGAAAGAAATGTGTTGTCTTCTTTGCTATAAGATTGAAAATCATTTCAAACTCGATATTGCATATTGCTACTTTTCTGACTACAATACCCGGTATCAAGGGCGGATCCAGAACACAATTTTGGGGGGGGCCAAAAAAATGTTTGGTCCCCCAAAAAGTGGGTCAAAAAAATTACGGCGTGGGGTTCGGGGCCCGCTTAAGGGCCCCGAAAATTTTTTTGATTCTAGATGCTCTGTGGTGCGATCTGAGGCAATTTCTGATCACTTTAACCAATGTTTTTTGAGGAAAAGATGGTGGTGTACTCATTGCCTGCCTTTATTGCGATGTCACATAAAAAAAAAAAAAAATTGGTTTCGTTTTGGGGGGGGGCATGGCCCCCTTTGGCCCCCCCCCTAGATCCGCCCTTGCCCGGTATTACAGTTATCGCGGGCTGCGTTCTTTTTACACTGTAAAATCAAATTATTGTGTGTCTGGCTTTTGAGGTGAAGCATAATTTAGAGTTCGATGTCTAAGCTTGATTTTGTTCACGCTGTAAGCCCAGAAATTTCAAGTTAAGATGAAAAAGGGTGCTATAAAACAGTGAATGCTTGATAAATCAAACCAGAAAGGCTCAAAATTTGACTTAAGCAGAACTTTTAGTGAAGCAGGGTAGTATGTCATCATTGTGATACTAGTGAAGGCAATGGATTCTCTTTTTGAAATTAACATGTTGTTTTGAGTTATCAGAGTTCGACTTGTCGAGACTTCACAGTAACTGATGAAAGGAAATTGAAATCATGATGGAAATTTAACAAGATGTGAGTACAGGTTTTAAGGTCAATACAGGAAGTGAGACCTAAGAAAACTTGTCTGTCATCTTTAATTCAGGCAATGAAGGTCTACATGACCATACTTCTAATGGCATCTTTGCAATGCCTCCTGATGCTGACTACTCATTGCGAGGGCAAAGGACCCAAGGCACCCACCGGCAAGAAAGCCAAGAAGGTCAAGGACTGGGAGGACCCGGACCGTGACCGTAGCAACGACCTCCTCGTCACCAAGAAGGCTTTCTTCGAGATGGAGGTGGATGATGAGCCGGTTGGGAGGATCGTCATCTCGCTGTTTGGCGAGACTTGCCCCGTGACGGTGCAGAACTTCGCTGCGCTGGTGCGTGGAACATCGAAGAACAGGGTAAGACTGGTAGAGTTATCTCCTTTTGAGAGAGTCAAGGTTATGAATGAATGCATATGTGTGGAAGAAAGATCAAAGTACCATCTTGCTAAATACACAAACGAAATAAGCAGAATGCTGATATCATTCATAATCTTCTTCAGTGTTGTAGTCGAGCTACCAACATTGAGTCCGAGTCCGAGTGCCGAGTCACAAGCCTCGAGTCCGAGTCCGAGTTCCGAGTCACAAGCCTCGAGTCCGAGTCCGAGTCACGAGTCACTTGTTCTTAGTTGTTCACCAAACTAATTAATTTTGTTAAGTTATTTTTTAATCATCCATTCTGTCATTTAAGTAAATCCCAGTGTATAAAATTTACCTTGTGGGTGTACATGTTGTTTAGACCCAAAATGTGTTTTCCTTTTAATTCCCGTCCCTAAAAAAATCCTCCTCCATCCTTTTTCTCCACGTTAAATCATCCAAAAATTATTCCTCAATGATCCTTTCCCTTCCATAAGTTAGCTTTTTCTTTTAATGAAAACACGTGACTCGAGTCACGAGTCACATAGCTCGAGTCTGAGTCATCATGGTTGAGTCCGAGTCAGATTCATTTTCCAATGTGACTCGAGTCGAGTCCGAGTCACGAAAAATGTAGCCTTTCGCCAAGGCCATCGTGGCTTAGCACGACGGAGCTGCGAAGTCCTGGACTCGAGTCCTACAACACTGCTCTCCTTTCAAAATGCCGTCGGATTTCCAGAAATACCTTTTCTGACGGCAAGCATATATGCCAATTACAATATTTGTTTTCCTCTTTTGAATTCAAAGTTTCCTGACTAATAATAAGAGACTGTATGGGTTTTCTTCCTCCATTCAGGAAAGGCTAAGCTACAATGACACCGTGGTTCATCGTATCGTGTCCGATTTCGTCATTCAGATGGGTGACGTCACAGAAGGCGATGGGACTGGCGGTAAGCGTTTCCCATATTTTTCTTTTTTGGTGTGTTATTGTTTTCATTAAGGAGTATTAAGAGATAAGGATGTTGTTGCTGTGCTTGAGATTGTTTGGTACCGCCCTCTACCGACGGTTTTGTTTGTGGCTGGCTTGTGTTGGGTCAGGAGAATAATCTCGTCGCGAGATGGTTCATGTTTTGTAGAAGTTTCCTAGAAGTCTGTGTGTACGGGATAAGAAAGAAGCTAATATAGGCACTTTCAGAGGGATTGTAATCAAATTAAAAATCAAATGTGCTTGCTTAAAGCGGAGGTTAAAAAGGGCTTCTCAAAAACATCATCACGTTCCAGCTTCAAACTCCCCGTCTCTTGAACATTTCTTACATCTTCTTTAAGTTATCCCTCCAAACATCACACTTCCTCACACTCAAACCGGAGTTTTCTGTCATTCATTCAATAGACATAGGCATTTGCCCGTGGTCTCCTCCTCAAATTATACACAGTTGGGATGACTGGCTCCGCTCCCACCACAGCCCGTCTTTCCAATGCTGCTGCTTGCAGTTCAGTGGTGTCACATCCTTAACATTTTTTTGGTGTTTAATTATTACAGGTCTAAGCATCTACGGCAAGCACTTCGACGACGAGAATTTCTACCTTCGTCACGCCGGTGCAGGCTGGGTCGCTATGGCTAACTCAGGACCTAACACCAACAACTCGCAGTTCTTTATTCTCCTCACCAAGGCGGGGTGGCTGGACGGCAGACACGTGGTGTTCGGGAAGATTACCGAAGGCATGGTAGGTTGGATTTCAGATTTTCTAAATTTTCATATCAGGAAATGTTTGTGTGTGACGCTGTTGCAATGGAGACCCTATTGTGGGGACGATTGTGGCAACTTTTGGGGCAACTTTTGTTGTTGAGTACATTTTTTTGTGCCCATACAGTACCAAATATTTGTGTGAGTGAATGCCGCTTTTACCGAATTAAACAAGACAAATCACGACCAAGGCTTCATTTTTTGTATACATTTTTTTTCCAGAGAATTATTAAAAGAACTCACATAATTGACTCACTACACGTATCGTTTGTCCCATTAGTCCACAAACTTCCTAACGACTTCTTTTTAGCCGAGATTAAAATATCGTACAATCTGCGAGAACACTTTTTATTGCTTAGAAAAACATGGAAATTGAAGGGAACAAATGGAAACGGAACGTTGATATTATTCACCAACACATTTTTAAAGGCGACCTTAATTGCTCGGACTGCAGCACCGTATTCAATCAAATTTGGCCGGACATTAAACTTGGCCCTGAAGTCAGCCAATGATAGAAAACAACCATTGTCGTCTAAAGATCACATATAAAGTAAATACTATACCGTACCAAATATTTGTGTGAGTGAATGCCGCTCTTACCGAATTAAACAAGGCAAATCACGACAAATGCCTCATAGTTTTATACATTTTTCAGAGAAGTACTAAAGAACTCACATACGCCAAGCAACTTGCGAACAGCGCCATCTATAGTTACACGAGCTCGCTTCGCTTCAGATCACTTGAAACTTATGAATTCAAATTGTTGTTTGGGAATTATTTTGAAGCAATGCTTAAGTAAGAACATATTGCATTCAATATTTAGTTTGTTCTTTTTTTAATAATATTCTTGACAGGACGTCGTTGAGCGCATAGCGCAGATAGACACGGACGATGCCGATTTCCCGCTCAAACCGGTCCGAGTCATCGACTGCGGCATCATACCGGTGAGGGCGCCCTACATACTCTCTGAAGACGCAGAGGAGCCCAAACTTTAAAGCAACTTCATGTAAACTAAAATAGCGTGATTAACGAGTTTTTTAACAATAGTCAGAAAGAAAGTCCTACAATACAATGTTTAAGCAAGTAGCCACTTTAGAAACAAACAAGTTTAACTCAAGAATTATTTTAGAAAGTTGAGGTATTCTTGTGATGACCGTTGCACGGAAAACACGATAAGGCTGTTCAACTTCAACTGCTTTGAAAACAATTTGAAATAGCACTAGTTGTCATCAGATAAGATAATTAACCACTCCAATGTCACTGTGCTTTGAGAAAACATGTATTCACAACATAATTATGAACTATCAATGTTAAAGATTGTTTTGTCTTGAAATGATTGTTGAATAAAATGTAGCAAAATGACACGTTCGTGTTGCTACTGTATTACCGATTTCCTAATGTCAGACAAATAAATAATCCATGTCTAAAGTAATAATTTATTAATAGTAATTTATTGACTGTCTCTGTCTTCGGTGCGCAGCATGCTAAAGCTAATGCAGGAGAACGTACACCAAGTGACTGCCTGAACTTTAAAGGGCTCATAAAGTAAATATTTCTTAGGATCATAGTTTGTGCTACTTTCTAATCCTCTTAAAGAGTATGAACAATAATTGATAATCCTTTTTGGTTAATTTTGTTGGAAAGTGCACTTCTTTAAACATTTAAAATGTTCCATGCTTTTCCGGACAACTGAGGGCGCTGTTGTCGTGATGTCATTTCGGGAATCACTGCTCACATTAGGTGTTTTTCTATTGAAATAGGAACCCCAAAAAATGCTCATTAAAAACATTTGTGAGGAAAGTTTGCTCAATGGCTTACTGCTTTGTACTGACACAACAACCAATCACTAATGAAAAGAAAGTATACGACAGCCAAATATCCAAAATTCTGGCAACTTTTTGTGCGTAAACTAATTGCAAAATTGAGTTTTCTGTCTGGTATGAAATCACACTTTTGCTCATGAATATGGAAATTCGCATTAACATAATTCGTATAGCATAAAAACCAAAAAGGCACCAAAACACCCTTGAAAATGGCAAAATGAAAATTGAAAATAAGGTTAAAGGGACACAAAGGTGCATTTTCAAGGATTGCATGAAGAAAATTACATTTCATGGGCCCTTTAAGTTTCAGTCTTGTGTTACAGAGGTCACAGAGTGTCAGAAATCACCGCGCAACTTTCAATAAACATTTTACCGACAAAATGGTTTGTTTTGAAAACAACCACATTTGTCTTATCGGTCGAAGCATGTGACATTACCCCATGCGCGCTCGACCCCGATAAGAGAGAATGCTCGAGTGGAATTGTGAGTTTTTAAGGTAGTGCACTTATAGCAGAAATCAAATTGATTCGTGTGGGGTTTAAACACGAGATAAACTCGGGAGAAAGTGGTGCGAGTCCATCACAGGTCCCCACAAGTCTTACAAGTCCATCACTAGTCCATCACAAGTCCATCGCAAGTCCATCACAAGTCCATCGCAAGTCCATCGCAAGTCCATCACAAGTCCATCGCAAGTCCATCACAAGTCCATCACAAGTCCAGCACAAGTCTATCACAAGTCCATCACAAGTCCGTCACAAGTCCATCACAAGTCCATCACAAGTCCATCACTAGTCCATCACAAGTGCATCACAAGTTCATCACAAGCCCATCACAAGTTCATCACTAGTCCATCACAAGTCCATCACAAATTCATCACAAGTCCATCACTAGTCCATCACAAATTCATCACAAGTCCATCACAAGTTCATCACCTGTCCATCACAAGTCCATCACAAGTCCATAAACAAGTCCATCACAAGTCCTTCACAGGTCCTTCACAAGTCCATCACTAGTCCATCACAAGTTCATCACAAGTCCATCACAAGTTCATCACCTGTCCATCACAAGTCCATCACAAGTCCCTCACAAGTCCATAAACAAATCCATCACAAGTCCTTCACAAGTCCTTCACAAGTCCATCACAAGTCCATCACAAGTCCATCACTAGTCCATCACAAGTTCATCACAAGTCCATCACAAGTCCATCACAAGTCCATCACTAGTCCATCACAAGTCCATCACAAGTCATCACAAGTCATCACAAGTCATCACAAGTCCTTCACAAGTCCATCACAAGTTCATCACAAGTCCATCACAAGTTCATCACAAGTCATCACAAGTCACCACAAGTCATCACAAGTCATCACAAGTCATCCCAAGTCATCCCAAGTCACCACAAGTAATCACAAGTCAACCACAAGTCAATCACAAGTCAATCACAAGTCCATCACAAGTCACCACAAGTAATCACAAGTCCTCCAGTCCCAAGTCACGTCACAAGCTATTCAAATGAACTGTGACAAAGGCATTCCTTTGTTATTGTTCATCCCCTGTTACCTGTGACCCGACTTGTGATTTACTTGTGACTGGAATTGTGATTGATTCGACTACAACAGTAGCTTGAAGCACGGGCGTGGTTACGAGGGGGTTCCAGTCCCCACGTCGGAGTATGTTTCCTCCCACCCCCACCCCCACAAAAGGCGTACCCTTTATAACTACACTTTTCTCTCGACGACTTTCCAATATCAATGCTTCAAAGTCCCGATCCCCAGGTTCAAAGAAACAGTACATGTACATAGCTACATGTTTCAAGCGAACTTCCAAACGAAAGTTTCCCAACGACAGCTGACTCAATAACTTTTACAAAGTGGATCACATTAATGTTAAGTGAGTGGAAATTGGTTTATGGGGTTCTCATGTGTGACATGAAATCTTGGAGTTGTGGTCTGCGTCACGATCATGATAATGATGATCATATGCCTATGATGGCTCACATTATATAGCATCCCATGTGTGTCTTTATTTCCATTTACGCGCCTCGACAAATGCATGAAGTCTGATGCCAAAGTCAGTTTACATAGTGACGTGTTTATGTGACTTGAATGTGGCGGTAGACTTCAAACAAGTCTGAAATCGCTCCGTCAGTAGAGGTGCCTCAACCCAACCCACTGCTCTGACCCGACATTGTGTACGTCAGAAAATCCACCTGTCATGATCGGTTTACTTGATGATTGGCCAATGAGGAGCGGCGGTCTGCGCATGCGCCAATCGCGTTTATCTTGGCAGGCAAAGACCCAAACAGGATCTGGCACGGAATCTGAGATTGCCCGTTTTTTTTCGTGGGAATTCGACTTGGGATGGGATGCTATTTTTCAACACTGATCGATAATTATTACTAATCAATGATGACTGATTAATCAATTTGTCATTTACTGGCGTACACGTTACCGCATAGGGACAACGTCATGATCAGTTTGGTGTATACAAGTTAAGGTATTGGTGAACACTATGTACAGCCGGATAAACGTAAAGAACACAATTCCATTTGGTTGACATTACAAGAATCAAAGCTACTAAAGGGATGTTCTAATTGGTTACAGACCCTAGTGATGAATTGCTCTGCAATAGGTTTCGATGATTAAGTAACAACTTGCAGTATAGATCCGGTTAAAGCATCGATGCTGCTGATTAGGAACCGCGCTTAATGGAGGCGACGTGTCAAAATTGTAATTAGTGGTAATCATGTTTGTCCAGATAGTGCCAAAAACACCCTCTGTTTTATGTCACATGCTAAAGAAGCCTCTTTTACAGAGCGGGAGAAGGGTCTTGAAAGGATTTACGACGAAGGAGGAACCTTTATGCAAACCGAATGCCTGGACATTCTGCTTCGACCCTCCACCTCATTTGAGGTCAACTGAGGTCAATCTGCAGGGGGGGGGGGGCATGAGCGTCGCCAGGATTTTTCTAGAGGGGGACAAAGCACATTTCCCCCCAAAAAATCCCTATTTTTTCCCAGCATTTAATTTCCCGATTGATAATTCTTGGAGGGGTGGGCAGGGATATTCCCCCCAGACCCATTAAATTAGCAACCATATTATTTCACTCTTTTTCTTTCTTTTTCCCCCTTTTCCCCCTTTTTTCTTTTTGGCTCTTCCGGGGGGAGGGGGGGGGGGAGCGGCCCCCCTTGCCCCCCCCCCCCCCCTCGTGACGGCCATGGGGGGCACTCCGAGGCCTCATTTTCCGGAGGAGGCACTCAATGCGTGTTTAATGATAACGATCTCAGCAATTTTTTGTCTTCCGAAAATTCTGAGTGGGGGCTTCGAGCAAGGGTAGGGCATGCCCCACGCCCCCCCCTCCCCCAACAGATACGCCATCGTGTGGCATTCCATCGGACTGTATAATTCTTCAGCAGCAATCACGTTCAGTTTACTAGCCCATGTGATCTGCAAGACGTGCTCGAACTCTCAAGCACATATTTGTACCATTTACGCCGACATATGGAAACATTTTGGGAACATCATTGGCAATTATGTTGAGGGACATGGACTGGTTCAGCTAGCTGCCTCGTAGATCATCTCAACGAAGACAGCTGCGTCTTTGGCAATCTCAGCTCTTTTCTTTCATAACTCGAAATTAAGTCTGATTACGTCTGATATCCCGGTGTTTTTACCGAAACCTGAAAAAATTGACTTTTGGGTCGAGTCCATGTCCGGGTTTGCCTGCTCTTCAAATTGGAATTTCATGGAAGCGAAGAGGTTATTGATGAAGAAATAAATGTCTTGGCCCAAGGCGTTAATGGCATGGTGCCAATGTGGGTCTTGCAAAACATGGAGTACGCAAAAAAATGGGACCCAAAATGATGATGTTCCCAACCTCCATCATCCACCCTTCCTCTAAACTTGAACGTCACTCATCAAAAAAATCCTACTCTTGCCCATCCTCCTTTCAAAGCAATCAGCTGTATTTGGCCCACTTGGTTAATTACAGTAATGTTTAAATCAAATTACAGCAGTTTCAGAAATGATGTCCGTGATAACTGGTAATTAAAAATCCATCATTGGCGTTTTGGCAGGAGAAAGATGGGGGGGGGGGGGAGGGGGGAGGTCATCGTTGATAATTAAGAGACCGTGTAAGCCAGTATGCAAACTTTCAAGACTTCACCACGGCAATTTTCTCAAAATCAGATGAATAATTTCACAGCTTCCTATTATGGGAAGTTCAATTTCCCATCCTCTTGAAATTCGAGCTGGTTGTTGAGATCTACAGTGTCCAAACCTTTCAAGCAAGAATTCGTTCATCACGTGATGCCAACATTACATCACCTGACTCGCCAAGACCCGCTGAGATGTCAAAAGTCACGCCATGCGCGGCAACGTGACGTCAAGTGCGCTATTCAACATGCGCAGCGGGTGCTGCCCCGCCCACTTTATTTTACTACATGATTTTCATTCATAAACGCAACGCGGTACGCGCCACTAGCCAACCAGCTACAGTTTAGCCCGCGCTACATGTACACCACACCGGGGCTTATCCAGCTGTGATGTTTGTTTAGGTCCAGACCTGCGTATAAAAACAAACCTGGTTCCCACATTCTCACAAGTTTAGTCGTCGGGCCCCGTGGCTTCAACTTGTCGGGTGAACTTGTACTTGTTGAAACAGTGTGAGGTCCTGTACTACAAGACATTGTGATCATTCGCCGCTAACACTACATACGTGCAGTCTAGCACTAGTTCTCCACACATGCACTCCGTATTACTACAGGTACAACTGCACGTTCACGCCAACTTGCCAAAATTCGACGGAATTCCGAGGCGTCGGTTGTGCATGCCTCTACTGACTCTCAAGAACAACTTCCTCTCAAGGTGAACTTGAATACTTCGCCATGTTGACGGTCTGTTACGTCATCGTGACGCTCGTGTGTCTTGGACAGACACTGCCGACAAAAGATTCAATAGAGTTCAATCATCCAGAACAAGGTAGGTGACACGAAACGAAAAACCTAGAATTTGTTTTCTTCAAAAAAAATCTTCTTTTTTTTTTAGCTTACACAAGGGCATCATTTCACATGGCCAAATCATCGAGTTGCAACAATTAAGACAGCTAAAGTAACATTTGATGACCTGTGAGGAATTTTTACCTTCTAATTACCCGTGGGAAACTAAATCAATGTGAATCATGTCATCGAGATTCGTAAGCAAACACAGTAAATAGTAACATCTTCCTCGGATATTCAGATTGCTTATTTTCCATTGAGTTGTCTTTATTTTTGATGGTCCCAGAGGGCCAGCCTATAAAGTCCTCTTTGTACATCTCACTGAACGACTGACTTTGTGACCAAGACTAATGTACAACATTTGCTGTTGCTGCATTTTTCGGAAATAAATGAATTTGGAGGATTAGTATGTTATAGCAAATATTGTTAAAATGACTTTTTTCACGTTTTGGGTTTGTAGATGCTGGGAAAACCAAGAAAACCAATCATGTATTTGCAGTCTGGTTCCCTTACCCCACTTATAAGATAAAACGGAGCAATTAATAGACTTTGGGGAATTGTAAGGTCAGAGAATCAGTCTAGCAGGCTTGTACCTCTTCACAGGTGTGTAATCAATTGCAAAGAAAATGCAGAATAACTAATTATGAAAAATTCGGAGCAATTTTTGAAAAATAGCCAGTTTTCTCCAACGCTGGTCGGCCGACCAGCGTTGGAAAAATACAATTTTTCTTAAAAATGTCAGCACATCGGGGGCCACGATTTTACAGGATGCTTTAGACTGTCATTCCCTAACAATCTAGTATAAGGCATTTCGCGATAATTTGAACATTTCGTTTTGTGATGTTTGCAAATGTTGTATCTTCCCTTTAAAGCTTGCCTTGTCTTTTTTGTAGTAGTATCAGTGACGGATCCCCACCCCTTTTGGCCGCCAACAAAATAGGAAAATCATGCAAAAAAAGCAGCACATCCTGCAAGTGCAAAACCTCCTCCCCTTGAAACCCCCCCCCCCATATAGCTGGATCCGCCCCTGAGTGTAGTTTGAAGATCTGATTTTCTTAGTTACATCATCATATTCCCTTCTTACTAGCAAAACAGAACAATCAAAGATACCATGCACACGTATACTCTTCAAAGATCGTGACAACTTCTTGTGTTTTGGTTTGGCAGTGTTTTGCCAGTCCCACCATACCGCCTGAGGCCCCTAGAGGGGCAGGGTAGGGCAGAGGCGCCTAGGTACGGCAGGCTCAACAAGTGGTTTGGCTGTCGGTCCTTATCTACACTGACCTACATTAATCAAAGTACTTTTCCTGGGTAAAGTTCGGTATGAGACCTGTATGGGAACACATCTCATGTCGGTGCATTTTATCTAATGTGTTTTAGATGCTGGCAGTACCTACACGTTGACAATTGTCATTGATTTCATTTTTTAAAGTTGGTTTTGCCCTACAACACTATTCTTAATATAAATTAAGTATAGTGTTGTCCAACTTGTACGAGGGCACGTGAGCCAATTCACAAACTTACTCTGTGGGACTCCAACCCACGACCTACTACTTACTAGTGCAGACGTCTTACCACTCGACCATCGAGCTTGCTGGCTGGTTTGACTCTTAACAACTATTTAAGTGGGTTTATTTGAAAATAAAAACAGCATTAGGTCGGTGAATATATCAATAAAGTTATAGTATTTTTGTAGGTGTAAGTTGTTAACAGTAATCGTTCTGTCCTTTAATTTACCAAAGTTGAACAAAAAAACCTGTATACAACCTGCCTGAAATGTCTTGACTTAAAAGGGAATCTATTGGAAAGGGAAATGCGACTTTGGGGCTCTAAAACGCGTTTCTCACGAAATTATGAAAAATGTTTCTGTTTAATTATTGTGCTAATGAATTTCGAGGTACAAAATATGGTCATCAAAATAATGTCGAGCTAAAGTGCACCTTGAAGTGCCACGTGCGTTCATCGTTTACCATGTATCAATTTGGATTTCAACAAACTGTCAGTTAGCAGTTGCTTTACATGCCAAAATGCAGACCCAAGATATAAACACCGGTAAAAACATGGTAGCCTCTATTTAGAAGGTCTCAGTAGTACATTGTACCTGTCGCGTGCACCCGATCTACCGAAAACAAACATTGGCCTATATTTCTCCCCCAGTATTTATTTTTCTCTCAGCTTAATAAGAAAATGCTTGACTCTTGTTCGCACTCTCAGTGGAGCACTGGAGGGTGGGCCGATTTCACGACGGTCGGCATGTAAGTCAGTAAAAGAAAAACGTGTTTAAAATCACCATGACCTCTTGGCCTAAAAACAACAGGGAGATCCGCACACATACACGATGTTGGCGTTCCGAATCGCCTTGACTTAAACGGAGCAAGGACGGGAACTCCTTACGGTGAATTTGGAGTAAAAGAGTGAAGTCTTATATCTAGAGAGGATCATAATTCAATCAATCTTCGTCTAGTCTGGCGTGAAAATCTTGGCTGGATGATAATCGAAGACAGGTTTCGGTCTCCGAGTAGTGATACGAAATGTACGAGAGAACTCAGGCCCGGGAGACTTAGGTGTTTGTGGTTTTTGTTTTGTATCTCGTGGACTTACATTGCAGCCATGTGGTGGATTATTTACTTATCGATGTTAAAGGCTATGGGAAGATTTCAGTGCCTGTCAGTCATATTGCGAATTTGCACATTTAACTTTATTTTAAAGGTTGGAGAAGTGAGAATTTGAATTTGTTGAATTCCGATGGCATAGCGCCTTCTTAAGTCATGCACAATGGTAATAAAGTCTATCAGTATTTTTGATAAGCGTCCCCCCCCCAAAAAAGTAAAGTCTGTCACAAGCCAATGTGGCCCATCAGGCCGGCGTTTATCTCCGGTTTCAGTAGCATGAAACGACTGAAATATTTCTACTCCCCCTGGATGGGATGCTAGTCCATCGCAGGTTACTCCCCAGCTAATGCCAATACCCATTAATACTCCTGGGTGGAGAGGGGCAAGTGGGGTTAAGTGGCTTGCCCAAGGACAAGGTCATAATTATGACCATCAGCTGGATTCGAACCCCTGGCCCTCTGATCATGAGTCACGAACCCTAACCACTAGGCCACACTACCCACATAAGCGGCCGTAGCATCTGATTCAGGAATATCTTCCATCGAGCGTATAGGTACATGTCTGTTACAAAAGTGAAGATGTTCAAGATATCGAAATGAGTAATGATGCAGGGTGATGATGATAGTGAGCTAAGTAAGAGTGAGATTCAATGAATACTTCCTTGGTGAAGAACTGACAGATTTGAAAAATGAAAACTGTGATCGGACCGGACTCGAAACAGAGGAAAGGGACAGCCATACAATCCGTAGGGGCAGAGGGCTAATCACGTGAGGGATCTTGGGATCACTGGAACAAAAAACAATGACCACAGTATTCGAAGACAACACTTCCTAAACAATTATTCGATTCACGTTACCGTCTTCATGATTGATACTTGGGACAATCGGACTTGTCTTCGTGAAACTTGTTTTGTCTCGTGTTTGTACAATGATGGTACAAGTGAATCACTCTCACAAATTGATCGCAGTTGTCTTTGAAAACACCAGCATCCGGACAGGTGAAGTCTTGGCGTGGCATAGATTTTCTTGACCCCCGTCTCACTTTGATGGAGGGTGGCGTGGGAAAAATAAACCACTACCTGGGGAGACTAAACCATGCGGTAGAGCCTAATACGATTATCGGAAAAGAAGAGGGCTATAGATTTGGATATTAAAATATGTCTTGACAAAATTTGCGGAGTTTTAGTTTGAATCACTTATTGTTGTGTTGGTCAAAGCAGTGTACAAATTAAAATATATTTGTTACAAACACATCATTACAAGATGCCAAAGCTTAATGCATGGTGTAGCACCAATATTCCAGAATAACTTTGAGGGGGTGGTGGGGACTGGGGGCGGGGAATAGTGAGGATTTGAGGGAGGCGCATTATAATCTTCCTTTTCCGAATCATCCATCTGGTTCCTATAGGATTTCTAAATTGATAATTTCTTCTTCCACTTTCCTAACCATAATCGCCTGTTCCAGGAATACTTTGGACTCCCACGTCAACAATTAACCCACCTCTTAAAATGGGCCTTATCTCCAAGACTCCAAACGACCCTTGAACATCATTAATAATGAATGCAAAATCAATGTTAAGTTGTCAATTTTTGCTACGGGTATAAGAACAAATTATCCCCCTTTTTCTATTGCAGCTGATTTCATCAAGTCCTTGACCGATTTCGAAATCGTCATCCCGTCCCTAGTGGACGGCAATGGGGTTTTCATCTCGCACGATCTGAGCGGGGTCCGAGTTGACCGCCACAACTCGGCACCTGGCCAGGACTCGAAACTTCCCGTTCAAGGCGGCGAAGAAAAGTCCCCATCTTCAGTCCACTACAAACTGAGTTTGTCCGGAGAAGATCTCCATCTCCAACTGCAGCGGAGTGATCGTCTGATCGCACCGGGTTTTGTGGCGGAGAGACGTGGGAGGAACGTGTCGGAGGCACGGTTGGGACGCATCGACCACGTCCGCCACTGTCATTTCAACGGACATGTACGCGGACGGCGCGATTCACGGGTGGCCGTTAGTACATGCGACGGCGTTGTAAGTACACATTTCAACTTTTTAGCTGCGGATAGCAGCTCAACAAATTGCCGTGTCTCTCCGTTAGTTAGTTAGTTAGTTAGTAACAAACGTTCCAGTGCAGCCTTGCATGGCTATATATATCAACTTGTCCCTCATGCCCCGTCCCTCTGTTGTGTCACTTTAATGGGTCTCCATGCACTGACCGTCAAAGGTCATTATGGAGTCACTAGGGTTAAAAACCTGATTTTTGTACTCAAAACACTACTCCTTCCAAAAATTACACGGCACAATCAGGTCACTCTGTTGTGCATGAACACAAATTGGTTGGCCCGCAGCTTCCCTCGTAAGACACACACACACAAATCTTTCTGGCGACTACAGGTGTAATCATGTCAATTACAAGCCAATCACAAGTCAAATCACAAAACAGATCACAAGTTGGCCTAAGGTTATACCTTGTGATGGACGGCCAAGAAATGCCTATGACGCAGCTTGCGACGAAATTACCTTGTGATTGTCTTGTGATGATGCTTTATGATGACTTGTAACGACTGACTTCACTTTAAAAAAATTGATAATATACGGGGAAAGGATTTGCATACTTTTACCTCTGCATTACCCATAATTTATCTCATTTAATCCAAACTACTTCATAAAATTAATAGCATTTACTATTTTGTTTGACACAATTTGGAATTCCCAAGGCGTGTTTTTTTCTTTGTTATTCACTTTAAGATGAAAAACTTTAATGAAATATCTTTATTCCGAATCTGTTTATATAATAAAGGAGCCGCCGAATAAACACAAATCATTCTTAACTCACTGCAAGTTCAACTGCGGTCGACATTATGAGCAAACAAGTGTATTTGTGTGTTTGTGGCTTATGAAACAATGGAGAGTCTGGTTTTTATCAAGTGTACATCCCAGTGTTGACACGGGGAGACAAGAACCAGACTTCCCGTCACACATCACGTACGAGTGGAGCTGTGCCTCATAGTTTTCCGGATGGTTGCGTTATGGAATGGAATTTCATGTTTTGTTTACGATGAGTGATCTGATTGCCAAGGCTTCAACTCAATGTGCAATGCATTCCTTAAATCGGAAACAATGTTTTACCCGTGTACGTGCTTGCACGATTTTGGCACCGGAATATACTTTAACAAATCTTAGCTCTACACTGTCTTTAATCATAATCTACGGTCGCTGGTTAATTATTAGTCGTCAATTTTGTTAGATCTAACAAGTATTGACCTAATCTAAAACTGTAATATCTTCTCCTGTCTTCTGTCTAAGTTGGTGTGATGTTTCCCCCCGGATGCTTTGCCGACTATATGATACAGATACAGATATCTATTTGATACAATTTCACTCCCACTAAAAAAAATATATTTATCTTCTAATGACCTCCAATTCAATTGATATTTCTTGGAACATTCGCGGTTAATATTGATGTATCTCTTGAGGGTTTTGAAGGTGATCTTGAACTTTTCAGACAACCCGCAGGCGGTAGGCTAGGGGGTATACCCATGGGGGTAGACCCACGGGGACAGAGTCAATTGCGCAAACAACTTGAACATTTTTCCCATGACATGTAAAAATGTGTAGCACATGATGAAAGTGGATGTACGAGAGTGTCTCGAGCTAAGGGGCGGATCCAGGTTGGATTAAGGGGGGGGCGTCGTCATTAAATTCGATCCTTAATTAACGGTACAGTTTTTTTTTTTTTTTTACATTTACAATCAAAACGATTTGACAGGATTCATTATAAATTCCTACTTACAATCTTATCCATACGCAGTATTACATTTCATATAAATAGATTGGAAAGGAAATGATTATTTTGGAGAAGGTGTGGACGTAATAATTACAATGAACGTGAAAACACGCAATGCACGTTAGAAATACCAATAGGTCCAAGACCAATATACATCCATTATCTGCTAATTGCGGTATCGAATCAGGATACAGTAAGAAAGTTTCCCATCCAGGGCTAACTATTGGAAACGAGGTTGAAAATGTAGAAGCACTGGGGACGAAGTTCCCCCATGGAGATTTATTTGTCCAATAACATGGACAAACGTTCAACTGAAATTGGGCGCCCTCACCCCCCCAACTGTAACATCCAACCCCCCCCCCCCCCGGCTACGCCGCTCCTTTGACTAGCGCCCCTTGATAAAGACATTATCATTGGCATTATGGGAAAAAGCCAACATAGGGGCGGGGCTGGATAGCTCAGTTGGTAGAACACCGGAACGGCAATCCGGCGGGTCAACTTCAAAACGTGCTTCATAACACGCTCTAGTCAATTTCTTTGGTCAACTGTCCCCCCCCCCCAGCCGCTGAATAGTTTCATGAAACTAAAGTTGGCCAAAAACTAACAAATAGAATGCGAAAGTTCCTGTATTCATTATCAAATTGCCTTAGAACGCAGGAGAAAACATCGTATAACAATTTCAAAACCTTCCGGGCATGTCTCCGTATCCCCCTAGCAGGGCGCCTTCTCTCAACCCCCCCCCCCCCTTGATATCACCCCCCCCCTTCTGAAAGGTAAATCCACCCTGTGTTTTCGACACATTGTGCAAGTTCATCCGTACGTACAGTCCAAAAAGGCAATGGATTTCGCAACTCCAAACCGAAAGGCGAAATGAGATCATTTTGGGACGAACACGAAAACACTTATCACTTATAGCGAGCGCCACTCGATGTTAATGCCCGGTTATCTGAGGCAGTTGACGGTCGACGTAGAGGCCGCAAAACACGCTCAAGCCTCAGATACCGCGGAGTGACGATGTGCCACTCTATACTGTGTGGAATGCCGAAACATGAGGAGGGGTTATCTTAAGTGTTATCCCATCCAGAATTACAAGAGGAAAACAAAGAAAAAAACATGTGGTATTTTGCAATTTAAGTGCATTTTTTTTTCTCGTCAAATACTCGGATCAGGTTGAGGTGAAAAGCTATCAGCTCAAATTTCAAAACTTTGACAGAAATTTCCCAATTTCATGTCAAGTAAATTTTGTTGCTTCGATGCATGCTAGTGCTACCTATATTTTGCGCACTGTAGCTGAAAAAAAAACCACGGAGAATATTAGCAAGAACAAATTACATCCCTCATTAGCAGCGCCATTGGGCTCACATTAGCATGGGCTTACAGTGTACAAACGACCGAAGAAAGAGGGTTGCCGGGGGGGGGGGGGTAATGTCCACTGGGGGGCTCAGGAAGCTCCGCCTCTTAATTCCTCCTCTCCTTATAATCTATGCGATCTAATGACATGGCCACCATGCAGGATACGGTTATCGTGCAATCCAACGCGAGGGTGCAACCTGTGTGTAAGAACAATCTCGGATGTTTGAAATATTTACGCTTTTACCACCCAAAGAGAAGGCATCAAATTTAATATCCTTTTTTTAATAGTATAATAATTCCATAAAAATGCAATCACATTTTTGTCTGTCGTCATGTGATAACATAAAAAAAAATGTGGCATTGCTTTAAATGTCATTTACTGCGATATATAAGGAATTACTGCACGATTTTGTGGTCTGTCTTCGATTGGGAACTAGACTTCAGAACCACATAGTTTCGCAACCTATTGCGATTGACTATGACTTTATTAAGCAGCTGTAAAGCTCTAGTGGGAAATAAAAAAGGTCAGCAATGAGCAAAATTGCTCCCTGAGGGACTGTAGGTGGATGATTTATCGGACGTGTATGGCCCTTGTTACATCGAGTCGGAAGGTTCATCGTGCCTCTAAATAATAACCTCGAACCCCTCGGCATGAAAAGTGTCTTACACGGAGTAACCTTGACCTCGGGGAGGTCGGACCCAGGGGAACGGTTAATCTTCATGTTCGCCTCGCCGACAGAGCTGAATCACTCCCTAGAATATAATCCATCACGATTTGTACCGCGAATTAGGCAGAAAGGGGAAAAAACAACAACCCTGAGATTCCGTATCTAGGTAGCCATTTTTCATATTTTTTTTCATTCCCAAAGTCGGAAAAAGAGTCTTCAAAATTGAGAAACTGCCGCGCTTGCTGCGCCATCTGAGTGCTGGGTTTGTCCCCGTGAATACTACGCATGCGTCAAAAACCTGTTGACTACTCTTCAGTTAATCAAGCTTGTGTCACAGAGTAACTTCAGCACCTGACAATTTCAGCACAAAAGTATCGAAACAAAACTGGACACCACACATGCGTCACAAACTTCTGGACTGCATTATTTTGTTCCAAACAACTCTATTAATCTTGCTGATCGTTCGTCACAGAGGTAAAATCAGCACCTGACAATTTCAGCACAAAGTATCAAAACAAAACTAGACACCACGCATGCGTCACAAACTTCTGGACATTTTGTTAGCCTATACACAACTCTCGCAATCTTGCCGATCGTTCGTCACAGAGGTAAAATCAGCACCTGACAATTTCAACACAAAGCAACGAAACAAAACTGAACACCACGCATGCGTCAAAAACGTCTTGAGTGCATTTTGTTTTTTACAAGCAGCTCTCTTAATCTTGCTATACCCTTTGGCACAGAGTACAATTCAACACCTGACAATTTCAGCACGAATAAAAGAGACAAGACTAATGAGGCCTAATTTTTAACAGGAAACGGAAAGCGTCGATCAGGGAAATGATTTAACGCCCCCTCTTCCTGTCCCGCGTGTTCTACAAGACAAGTTCAAGTTTGTACCAAATTAACTCTTTGATTTATTGCGTCAACGTGTCGAAGCGGGCAGCGCAAAACAAATACGACTGACTCCCTCCGCTGTCGGGATAAGCATCGGTGTAAATTATACACGTCGATGAGCTGGAGAAAAAGAGAAAAACATGAAAACACTAGGGAGGCTGCTCGAACTGCGCGGGCGCAAGCATGGAAACTTTTGTGCTTTTGGCGCCAAGACTGTTTTGTAGGCACCGCTGTTGAGTTACGAATGGTTGATTTCTGTTCCGTTTATCGAGTGAGTGACGAATGGATAGCGACGTTAGGCAAGTTCCCTGTTTATTGCGCAAGGGGAAATGTCTGATCTTTCTGCATGCTGTCGGCCTGTGAAATGAGGCATTCGTTGTGGTTGGAAAATGCTTTAAATGGATTTTATTCAAACACTTTCAACTCTATGTTTCGCATTTGTGACTGATTATAGGACTAAAGGTATAGAGTAACAAGGGCGGATCCGGGGGGCCAACGGGGGCCATGCCCCCCCCCCGAAAAAAAAGAACCCAATTTGTTTTAAGTGACGTCGCAATAAAGGAAGGCACTGCGTACACCAACACCTTTTCCTCAAATAAAATTGGTTAAAGTGGTCAGAAATTGCCTCAGATCGCACCATAGAGCATCTAGAATCCAAAAAAATGTCGGGGCCCTTAAGCCAAGCCCCACGCCGTAATTGTTTGGACTCACTTCTTGGGGGACCACATTTTCTTTTTGGGCCCCCAAAAATTGTGTTCTGGATCCGCCCTTGTAGAGTAAGGGTAGAAGAAATAACTAAACATAACTGGAGCTCCTGAATTGTTCATGGTTTTGCGGGAAAATAATGTGATAAAGGCAATGGGCGTCACATTGATGGTTTCTTCAAGGGCAGCAGTGGCGTGAATGGGTCCAACTTGGTGCCTCTCATTCTGAAAGGGATACTTAATGGGTTTAAAAAAAATTAAAAGCTCACTAAATTAAAAGCTCAAATTCGGCAAATTCTTATTGGGAGAAGGGGAGGGGCACAGGAATCGAGGAGGGTGTGGCCCGTGGCGACACCCCCCGGCCTCCAGAGTTGTACCAGCTTGGAAGACAGGAACGAGAACATTTATGAAAGGTGTTGTGTTGAAAATTCACCGCATGTGCCAAGATAATGTTGGCGGCAAATTAAACACCTGTCCGCTTCCAATTGAGACAGGTGTTGGTAAATTGTGTGGGCATTTCCAATATAAAGTCCAGACGCCGGCAAATCTTCTTGGCGTTTTTTTAGGAAACATTTTGGTTCTGAAACCGCTGGATTAGTTTTGCCAAGGCGGGGGGAAGAAATTATCAATTACAACTCGGCTGGTGTTTGTTAAGGCTGACAACATTTCTATTTACGCACCGATGAAATTATCAGGTTTGTTTGGTAAAGTATTAACAATGGCTGTGCATAAAGTAAAGGGATTGACCGAACTGCTGGGGATATTGTGCCTGTACTCCCGGTAAACTTCAAGGGCAAATATGGATCAGGGAAACCGGAGGTTTATGGTCCCCCAAAGAGTCGTTACATGTCACTGCAATTTGTTCACTTAATCCTAAATCCATCACAATGCTCAATTTTCCTGTCGTTTAATTGGATTTGTTTCGCAAACCGGCGGTCGTGGGGGGTGCCCCTTGGCTTGGTATTCCCCTGTAGCGATTTCAGAGGGGGATTAGAGGTAATATATCCGTCAAATCCTAGTTCCAAGGTGAATGATATTTTTCTGGAAGTTCTGGGTGATTTGGAGGGATTTTGAAAGAGACGTTGTTTTTCACGTTTCGAGGTCGGCGCATAAGGTGACAATTGATGGGAATGTTCCATTAGTTTTCAATTCGAAAAGTTCAAGGATAGATTACTTTCAGTTCACCAGTTACAACGAAATCACTACTAAATGTTGGAGGGAATTTTCGTATCGCCGACTTTGAGCAAAAACAAAACTCATTTCAAAATAATGTTTGTTTCCATTTCACGCTTTTGTTTAGAGAATTCTGATTGTGTTTTGTTTGTTGTGGTTCAGTCCTGTTTAGCTTCGTAAATTTTCAACAAAATTTCAAAAATACTTTTGCTTTCACATTATTTTGTTTAAAATAGTTTGATAATTTGTTCTGACATCTGCGTTTTCTGGTTGAGTTCCATTATGTGAATCATGTTCCCTGCCATTGTTTCTCAACATAACTTGCGAGGGTGGTCACTTTTTATCCTTTTTGTCACAAAAAGATTGGAATGATCAGACTTGAAGAAAGCGAGTTTTTCATTGAGCCCGTCAAGAACTACACCAGAAGCCAAGGTACCAGACACCACCCGCACGTGGTGTACAAGCGGTCAGCGGTACCAGACCAAGCGAGGCAAGCTCGTGACGTAGACAAGAGCGAGAATGGAGATTTCTGTGGCGTACAGAACAAAGGTACTTGCATGTGGGGGAGGGGGAGGGGCCGGGAGAGGAGGTGGCAGGGGGTGTACCCCTCCCCACCCCCTTCCCTCCAATGTTGAGTGAAATTATGAAACGAAAGAGAGTGGTCCTTATAGCGCCAAATAAGGCCCAAAACGTGAAACAACCTGGGCCCAATTTCACGGCGCTGCTAAGCACAAACATTTGCTTAGCAGAAAAAAGTCTGACATATAACAGCAGGTTACCACCCAAAACTCCATGTGATTTTCATGCTAAGCAAAACCACAAGCAATCCTGCTTTTATAAGCCAGACTTTTTTGTGCTAAGCAAATGTTTAAGCTTAGCAGCCCCGTGAAATTGGCCCCTGAACAATTGTGTTCTGGATCCGCTTGTGAAATTAAGGCCGTGAACGTCGAACTTCAGGTCAAAATTTAAGGGAGGAAACTTTCTTTCTGTTTCTTTTGAACAAAAATTGTTTCCAGTTTCTGAAATCTCTTTGGGCAGAAGAAAACTTACAGTTGATGCTTCTAGAACAATGAAATATATAAAAGACAAATATCAATTCAAGATGTTGTAATAACGACCTTGATAATTTTCATAGATGCTTCTGAATGCACGGTCTTGTATGTGAATTTGTGAAAAGGGGGAGGGGGTCTGTGGCAATCTCAAATTTTCCATTTTTTTATAGTATCAGTTGAGAAACTTGACAAGGTGCGGCAGAAACGCGCCACTGGGGAACGCGAAACGACCTCAGGACATCGGAGGCGAAGACGATCGATAAGTATGGAGCGAAACGTCGAGTTATTGGTCGTCATAGACAAACACATGGTGCAGTATTACCGGGATCAGGACATCGAGACCTACGTCCTGACCATCATGAACATTGTAAGTTCATGAGTTGTCAAAAAGTATCTTTACATCTCATTATTACATGTATTTTATTTAAGTCATCAAATCAAATCAAATGACTTTAAACTCAAAGGACAAGGCAGGAAATTACTACTTTGCTGACGCTATTTTTACATGCTGGGTCAATGTTTTGAGATACATGTAGTTCGAAGAGATAAAATTGGCACTGAGCTGTGCATACAACACCACAGGTTTAGCACAATAACAGTATGTCCCACAAAATGCGTCTGTCTGACTTTTTTGCAAGTAAGTACACTAAACCATGAGATCAATTTTGAAAACTTTTGATTGTGCAGATACTTCTTATCCTTGGCCTCAACCCCTACGAGTTTCATTTCAGTCACGCATCACACATTATTGTTAATTGATTACAACAACATTTTGGGCACTGTGACCAAGTTCCTTGCCTTTATGAATTTCAGTGCTGTGTTAAGTAAGCTGTGTAAAATCCTGCATGTTGTGAAAAGGGCTGCAGTTGGGATTGGAATCATTTGCCTGGCTATCAGTCATCATGGCAAGACGTCAGTTGAATGCTCAAGGGCAAATGATTAAATGCCAAACCACATCTGCCTTGTTTTTCACAACATGCAGGAATTTACACAACTTACATAACACAGCACTGAAATTGATTAAGGCAAGGAACTTGGTCAGAATGTCCCAAAAATGTTGTTGCGATCAACTGACAATTGTGTAGTGATGCGTGACTGAAATTAAATGAAGCTCATAGTGGTTGAGGCTAAGGATAAGGAGGATCTGCACAATCACAAATGTTCAAAATATATTTCATGGTTTTGTGGTTATTTCAAAAATAGTCAGACGGACATTTTGGGACACACTGTATAGCCCTATTTACGTATAACATTTCTTGATGTGGGAACTTTTTGGAAATTTCCATAATCATCAGCCACCGTAAAAGACTGACTGGTAACTGCTCAACAGTGACAACTGATGGAAGTAGTTACCGCCGCGTACGGAGCAATTTCCGCGGTTATCAGCCCGACTGCAAGTTTTGCTCGAGTGATGTTTTCTTTTAACAGCAGTGCCGTACTTCTCTTGATTATTAGATTTAGACAGACTTGTATGGCTCGTGACTCGGACTCGGACTCCAGTCCCATTTTCCGTGACTCGGACTCGGACTCGAGGCACGATGACAAATGACTCGGACTCGGACTCGGACTCGACCCAGTGGACTCGGACTTGGACTCGGACTCGACCTGCGTGACTCGGGACTCGACTCAAAATACTACAAATCACTATTTTTTTCAACACTATACATGTAATTACAAATTATTTTGAAGACGGTCCTCTCTTGAGCCAGCGATACAGCCTGTGCGGTGCAGAAGAAAGGCATCTAAGTACTGTGCATACACAGCGCGTGCGGCTGGCTTGTTGCCGATACATTGATTCGGGAAATCAATGTATCGAAACATGTACCCCAGCATCCACACTTGATATTGCGATGATGCAAGCTTGATAGTGTTCGGTACCAGATTATCTTGTCCAGACAATGGTGCCTTGCCTTATGGTTCTACATGGGTTTTCAGTTCATTAGATTAGAGAAAAGCTGTGAAAAATGCATTACACTGTGAGTTTTTAACACTACCTGAACATTTATTTCCAATAACTAAAGGTGACTCGTGACTCGTGACTCGGACTCGCCCTATGTGACTCGTGACTCGAACTTGACCTGCATGACTTAGGACTTGGACTCGGACTGAACCTGCAGGAATCAGGACTCGTGACTCAGACTCGCCCGGTGTGACTCGTGACTCGGACTCGACCTGCATGACTCAGGACTCGGACTCGGACTCGACCTTTGTGACTCGGACTCGACCTGCATGACTCAGAACTCAGACACAGGGAGAGGTGGCTCGGACTCGGACTCGATAGTTGGTGACTCGAATACAAGTCTGGATTCAGATATTCATTTCTCAAATTTCGTTTTTTTCAACATGACTTTGTGACTTGCAGGTTGCTACTCTGTACCACGACGCCACCATCGGTAACTATATCAACATCGTCATGGTGCGCATGCTCTTCCTTGAAGAGGACGAGGTAAGAAATTGTCATCACGTTCCTCCATTTTAATCTACTTTTAATGCATGGATTATATGAACAAAAGATGAGTTTATATCGTATGCTCCACAGGAGGAATTATCGATCGAGCACGATGCCGACAAGACGCTGAGCAGCTTCTGCCGATGGCAACGGATGATTAACCCTGGGGACGAGAACCACCCGAATCACCACGATGCTGCCGTTCTGTTAACAAGGTAAAGACAGTGTGTGGCTCATCACATACACAATTATTGTTGTGTCACATTGCAATTTTGCAAAATCTGAAATTCCACCTGAAAAAAAGTTGCCGTTGTATTGCATTTAGTTTCCTTTTTTGACATCTGGCATACATATTTCATCACATGAGTCTATTTTGCATATCTTTCTGTCGTCACTTCAACAACAAATAACGGATGTTTATGTGGGGTTGCAGTTATTATAACAATGCAAAAAATGTTTTAAATAAGCCTTTGGGCAAGACACAAATGTTTATCGAAGATACTCAAGAATGTCTGGCCGGCTTTAAAAACTCTTCCAAAATTCAACTAAAATCACGATCGCCACACAAAGCCGTCAACAGTGCACACTTACACTGGATTCCACATCAACAATAAACACATTTTTCCTGTTATTTTAAATAAACAATATTTCACATCAACATGTTATTGTTTTCACATCTTCATTTCTCATCAGACTTAACAAGTATTTTCTTCAGTCACAAAACAATCGAAAACCGTCACGTAGAACTGTCAAAAGACTCCATAAACACTTTCATTCAACTCAACAGCTCGTTCGCCATTCAATTAACGCTTAAAATGGAGAATTAAAAACCGCAGTGCCGCACAACCAGCGCCACGTCCGAAACCGAAATGTTTTGCAAGCAATATTTTCTTCAACACCTCGTTAACAGGGCCACAATCCGCTGTCACGTGCCGGTTTTACCCCCAGCGGCGTAAATGGGAGTGGAGAGAGGTCGGAAGGGAGGGGAGGGGGGGGGGGGCGTTTTCTTGTTTGCAACTTCTCAATAAATAAGGCCCTCTCCAGAAAATGAGGCCCTCTCCAGAAAATGAGGCCCCTAGACTTAACATTTGCCATGGAGACGAAGAATATAACGACAACAAATTAATCGGTCTGCCGAAATAGTTCGTCATCCTATACCTGAGAGAATTTTCGTTTATGATATCTTTGTGTGTGTGTGTGAGGATAACAGGTTTCATTCTATCAATGTCGTTTACATCCTGTGAATTGTGTTCACTTGATATAAGCTGTTTTGTTTTCATTGCAGTTTAGCACTGGCGCATTTACGAGCATGCGCGTCACGTTTTGGGGTAATATAACTGTCTGTTTGTTTGTGATTATTCGGCAATTGGACGGGATAGCCCAGGACTGTCTCTCGACTTATTTCCAGTTGGGTCCCTTGCTAGAAGATGTGGAATGAAATGACAGTTTTAGTTGTGGGAGGAAAACCCCAGGATGGTATTCCAGGGAAAACCCACAGAATCGGGCACAGACTGAAAACCCAATCCATTGGTCCAGGCGGGATTCGAACCCAGGTCACAGCGGTGGAAGGCGAGGAAAGTACCGCTACGCCAACCTGACTCCCCTCAGTTGCCTTGTTTACTTTTCCCCCCTTCATTTTTCTTACAGGAAGGATTTGTGCAAGGGTTTTGATGCTCCGTGTGGCACGTTAGGACTAGCCCAGGTTTCTGGTATGTGTCAGGCTGAGTGGAGCTGTAACATCAACGAAGACACGGGGCTTGCCTTGGCCTACACCGTGGCTCACGAACTCGGCCACAGGTACGTTTACGAAGGACCCATACGCCTGAATCCCTGATTAATTGAATGTTTTGTGGATACTGATTCACCAATCACTAAACCTGCCTGGTTGTTTTCGGATAGGTTTTAATTTGATATGCTCGGTAGTTGTATGCAGATAATACGGCAAGAGTTGAAACAGAACTTTTAAATATTGCTGAGTAACGATTGTGCGCGATCTTTACTAGGGCGTCGAATTATCAGCCAATGGACGGCGAGACATTGATGAATAACGGTAAAAGTTGAATGACAACCAATAAATATACTGAAAGAAAGAGTTTTTATCATTTCATCATCCGTTTTGTTGTACATATGACCTATATAATTTCGCAGTTTCAAAAGGGATTTGTTTCTAAATGCATCCAAGCTATTTCCTCACTTTCGATAAATTTCTGAATTTGTTATTTATTTATTTCTTGTTTACCCTGGGGAAACCTTTCAGTGGAACACTGTTTTCAAAGGTGCCATGCAGTTGCAAACATTCGGTATAGTATCAAAATAGAAAAAAACTGCAATAAAAACATTATGACATTATTTACGAAAATCAATGAACAGCAAAATGAGACAAGGTTAATCAAGGTCAATCACACTGACTCGTCACATTGACACTAAAAAAACAGGACCTACTTTAATGTGACATAAAATATTTAAATATCAGATTCTTGTCACGGCGCTTAAACCTGGCTATAGAGTGGGAGGCTAAGGATGTTTAAGTGTCACAGGGAGGTCATGGAATAAATTAACTCCACCAGACGAAAATCTACGTTATCCCGAATAAGATTTGGATAAAGGAGGAACTAGATGACCTTGTGAAACAGATCTGGTATTGAGTGGGTATTTCAAACAAAATGAAAACAGTTGCACACTTGAGGAGGCAATTGGGATGTTAAACTCTAGTATACTAAAGAAGTTAGGTGAAAAACTCATCTTCCACCTAGAGATTGCCATCTAAGAGTAGATAAAAGAATGTCTGTGGATCTTCGAGGGAGGCCCAGGATAGTTCTACCAGCACTGTTTTGTTTGGATTTTATCAAGTTTAGTAAGAAACCTTTTGCAGAGTTGCCCCATACAGCATCGCAATTGTCAAAATGTGGTTACGATATAACCCATGTCACCCAAATTAAAAAAAAATCAATTCCGCAAAACGTTTAGCCTCTTATTTTTCTTAGTCTCCAATCCGCTATGTTTGCCAAAACCGCACCGCTGTTATTTTCCTCCATACCTGGCCCGAAGGAAGCGTTGACATTCTAGACCTCTCGTTCCTGTGGCTTTTAATCCTTCCTCCCTCGAGAAATTGAAGATAATTTTGCTTCGAACCTGCTGCCCACACATGCGGCAGGATTCAGTCTTAACCAACGTTTGCATAATCAACACACACGCAGGCGGATGTATGCATTACTCATGAATTTCCTTCCAGTTCAATTTTTTAGTGTGTAGTATATTAACTGCTGAAATTTCCATTCTGGATTGGTTTTTGTTGTAGTTTTGGCATGCAGCATGATGGTCTGGACAACGGCTGTGGTCAAGGCAACGACTCCCAGGTCCACGTGATGTCCTCGCAACTGACCGGTGTCTACGGGGCGCTGACCTGGTCGGCTTGCAGCAGGAACTACATTACGAGATTCCTGGAGTAAGTTGAGAGGAAGTTGCCAAAGTGCTGCCAAGATTGCCCCTATATATCAGCTCCCTGAAGATTTGAGACCATTTATGGCTTATCCTGAGCTAATTTTGTTTTTGGCAACCCTCGATTTACGTCTCATTAAAAGGGAACATATCCATGGCCCGATGTGTGTTAAATAATGACATGTACCGGGTGAGTAACAAACGCAACCCAAATGTCAGGACCAATTTTTGAATGAAGTTTTGCCCGTTTCACTTTCAAAATCTAGGATATGAAAGCCCATTTAATGAGCTTTAGTTTAGTATATAGAGAATCATTCAAATCACTCATGTACTTTTCAAGTTACGGAATTTTGAACACAAACAGGCGTTTTAAAGTTCTGTCCACGGATCACAAAAGAGTAAGTGTTCTTTCAGCAAATGAAAACAATTCACATGCATCCCTAAAAGAACTTTTTTTTGTTTTGCTGGAAGAATACTCACTTTTTTGTGATCCGTGGACAGAACTTTAAAACGGTGTTTGTATTTAAAATTCCGTAATTGACAAGTACATGAGTGATTTGGATGAATCTTGTACTAAAAGAAAGCTAATTAATTGGGCTTTCATATCCTTGATTTTGAAAGTGCTGCAGGCAAAACTTCATTCAAAAATTGGTCCTGCTGCTGTTTGGGTTGCGATTTTTTTATTTATTCACCCTGTATATTGATAAATCGTAAAAAAAAAATCAACTAAGAAACTATCATTGTTCTGTGTTGTAACGATAACGTTTTTAGTTAAGGACTGCTTTAAAATCTAATTCTTCATTTTCTTCAAAGTTTAAAATACACATTTGGATTGTGGAAAAACAGTACTCAAGTACAAGTGCAGGGTTTTTCCGATAAATCACATTATTTGAATATTATTTTCTGGTAATGAAACCATGGATTCCTGAAACATCGCAATCCTGAAGCAATCTGCACGGATAAGACGATCACTCTCCTCGTCTTGAAGTAATGTTCAGTTAAGAGGTTGGAGGAAAGCCCCAGAAGAATATTCTGGGGGAACACATAGAATCAATTAGGGACTGAAAACCCAATCCACATTTGGACCAGGGCAGGAATCGAACCCGGGTCACAGCGGTGGAAGGCCGGGAAAGCACCACTACGCCAACCTGACCCCCCTTCTCAATTCATATCAAATTTCGAAGTTTTGTTGTAGTGTTTACGCTCGGGAGGCGTGTGACCTCGGGCTCTGTTCTTCATGTTCACAAAGTTCTCTAACCCCTTCACTCGCCGATGTTTCAACCGTCACTTCATGACTCAGCTTTCCCCCCACTCTGAATGATTTCTTGATGTCAACATTAACAGCCAGGGTTTCGGTGACTGCCTGAATGACGAGCCGAGCCCTCATAACTTCGACTACCCGTACGTCCCCGCGGGGGTCATGTACACGGCGCAGCATCAGTGCCGATTGCAGTATGGTGTCAACGCTTCGGTTTGCTCGCATCTTGAGGTAGGTACGAGAAAGTTGAAGATTACTTCCCCCGTACGGCAGGCCAAAAATTATACCTTTGACAGTATTTATGGCGTGTGTTGCATTATGTAGTGTCAATTCTCTGAGGTACTGCTACCTGTGCTCATGAGGTCAATAAATGATTCTGGAGAGTTGTAGGTATGTTAAAAGGCGAAGTACTGCTACCCCTGCTCGACAGGCCAATAATTGACAATACATTGTATTTTATTCCGTATGTAGCATTATGTAATGTCAATTCTCCGAGGTAGACGTAGAACGTATAATACTACTTCCCCTGCTCGTCAGGCGAATAAATTATTCTGGAGAGTTTTTCTATGGTATACATTCCATTTTGTAAGGTCAATTTCCTCTCTGGAAAAAATGACGCCACCAAAATGCTCACTTAAATGGATGGAGAAGATCGCTCGTTGTAAAGAATGTTGCTCGGGGACACATGTGGTTTTTATGGTGAGAAGCCAAGAATATAAAAGTGTGAATTATCGTCTTTGAGGATTGTTACAATTTGTATCGGCACCAAGATTTAATGTCTATTCCTGATTTTAATTAAACATTGACAATGGGCCATTATGATTGTTTTGTTAAACCGTATTCATTACTCCGGCCGCAGCCAGATCAGTGCTCTACACTATGGTGCAGATCTGGTAACCGATGTCATTCTAAGCTGTCTGCGGCTGCGCCGGGTACCAGTTGTGGAAGGGACAGGGTAAGTTGCTTCTTGGTAAGCTGAAAGTTTAGCCCAAAAGGAGCTAAGCAATTTTTTCCCCCTAAAATGCAGCTTTTATTGCATTTTCAGCATGCAGAGAAGAACAATGTTGCTGATCAAATGGGTTATCAAAGTAATTGGCTGAAATAGTCATGTATAAAATACATCACAATGTTTTTTGACCGACATAAAGTTGTTCCAATGAGATTTGATAGTTCTATGGAAAAAAATCCGCGTTAATGGCGCCCTTGGGTAAACTTTAACCAACATTTTAACAAACTTATTTTTTTTACGCTGTCGTTTTTTTTCGTTAGCTTTTGTTGAAATATGAACATTCTTGGCTTTGCTTTATGTTTTGCTGTTTAATTTGATTTTTCCCTTTTGTGTTGATTTCATTTTTGTTCTTCTTCCAGCATGCTGTTTTTTGTTGGTTAAAAGCAAATAAAGTAATGAAATAATCATTTTAATACATTCATATTATGTTATTCTTCTTGGGTTTTATTCGTAGTGGTGTAGCGGTGGAGAGTGCGTAGATATCAAGGAATCGGCGGCAGCGATTCACGGCGACTGGGGGCCATGGAGCGAATGGACACCCTGCTCCATGACGTGTGGGTCAGGGGTGGCCATCAAAGAGAGACACTGTAATAACCCAAGGTAATTGGCCTTATTCACCAGGACGCCATTTTCGATCGTGTTCCCTGAATTTGTTTTATAAATTGTAAACTGTTGAATGGGATGGTGCCAGACTATTTTATGATTGGAGTGCGTTCCAAGCCTCGATTTCATATTTCTTCAATGTGGCTTAAAACATAAGTTTAATCATAATTGTTTTAATTATTCATCAGAGCAGACTGCTTTTAATTTGTAATGAACTTTATAATTCATTGCATTTATTTCTACTCGCAAGTTCCAAAAATGAAGAGTTTGCCTCGCTTTCAATTTAACATGGCCGACTCGTGAATAACGGCTATTGGCAGTTTGGAACATCATGATTCTCATCATTATCATGAAAAATAATAGTTTTGTTGAATTGATATTATGAACTATAGGCACAATTCTGCAAATAAAAGACAACTATTTTAGTCGAAAACCAAAAAAAATCCACTAACTCCCATGACACTGTTGCAAAATTGTATATGAAAGGTGTTGGAGGTAAGTAGAAAAAGGTACAACAAAGTATTGATTTCATTTTTTGGCCAAGATTTTGGTTTTGTTAGTTCATAATTTACTGATCTTGTAGTATTTGTATTGCCATCTCTGCATCTAATTTTGCATTTCAGACCGGCCAATGGAGGCAGATACTGCGTCGGTGAACGTAAGAAGTACGCCATATGCAATCGTCAGGTATGAAAGAGTCCTAAACTTGTCCAAGTAACGAGTAACCACGACGTTTACTTTGATTCTCACTTTCATCATCAATTTACTGCAGTCCCTAAAATTAAAACGGATAAGGGAAACAGGCTGATTGATGTTATAAAATGTCTCTATATAACCAAGTTTTAATATCTCTTTGCCTTTAATTATATGATATATACTACATAAGTATTTCATTGGATTTGGTGTGATTATTTTCCAAAGGCATGACAATATAATTTCAGGAGAAAAAAATAATAAATCCAAAAAATTAAACTGGCCTGATATTTCAGTCTTAGCAAGGCCTTTTCAGAGGTAAATGACAGAGGAACAAGAAACAAACATGTTGGGAACACACAAACATGCAGGGTTGGGAGGCGAAACACAAGGGAGGGATGGGGGGAGCAGACCAGTGTGGATGAAGATCAAAAGGGATAAGGGAGCAAATTAAAGGTGTGTGGTGGGAAATGATCAAGAGGAGATGAATGAAGGGATGATGCGGGGGGGGGGGGGGTGGAACAAAGGTGAGTGGTAATGAATGTGGGGTTGGTATCAGTGCTGGGAGAAATAGGAGATTTCAAAATCCGGTTATCCTAATTTTTTTCAAAATTTTATCGGATTTCGCCGGAAATTCGAATCCAGCTCAAGGTCATGCGAGCAAAATGTGACGAGACGAGTGAGGTGCCGCATGCAATGCCCTTCCAATGTCTGGGTATAGTTTGCAGGATTCAATGACCACTAGGCCTTTACAAGAATACTCCAGAGCTGTAATCATGAGTAAAAAATGTGCTGGGAACTCTCTGATAAGTCAAATGGGCGGGCTATTCATACACCAAGAAGGCCGGTAGCGAATGAATGCAGTTACATCAGAGACCATGGAGCAAAATTTGAGGGTGTTCTGGTTGTTTCTTTATCCTGTGTCATAACAAAATGGAACAAAATTTAAAGGTTGGTTTCAAATATCCGGTTTCAAAAATCAAAACTGAATACATGTAGTGGAATTCAAACCGAATTTTAAAAATCCGGATTTAAATCCCAAATCTAGGAAGTGTGAATGGGGGAAGAGGGGGTAATACAAAGAACATTAGCGAACTATGTAATACTCAAGGAAGACTTGACGGATTTTCCATGTTTTGGGCTCATTTTGATTTCATTTTTTTTGTAGGAATGTCCCAAAGGCAGTGTGCATCCACGGGACGATCAGTGCAGCAGCTACAACGGCTTAACCCACCAGGGAAGCTACTTCCAATGGGTGCCGTACTACAAAGAAAGTAAGCAAAACAAGGTCACTGAGTTTGGCTAATGTACAGGGTGAGTCCAAAAAAAACGGAACCCAAACGCCAAAAATGATATTTCATAATTTAAACAAATATGTAACACCAAACATGTTAATGACTGGAAAGTCAATTTCACAAGCTACTTTTAGATGAAAAGAATTACTTAAATTGCTCAATCCGTTCAAAGAATATCATCATTTAAACACAATGCCCTTAAACCTCTTTCGTCCAAAAAAACGCGATTTCAAGAATCGTCGTCACAACTGTCTTCAAACATCACCAGCGATAAAATCTCAGTTTAATGTTAACAATATGCAACACAGTCAATTTGAAGGCCCGTCTTTAAAAAAAAGTAGATTTTATAAATCATATTGTTTGGCTAACCAGGGTTGTTAATCAAGATGTTGTGTACTACAGTTGTTGACAGTTGTTGAAACAAGTATTCTGTGTCATTCTCTAAGTTGTTTCAAACAGTCAGAATACACAATAAATTGCTTTTTTTTACGAAAGAGGTTTTAGGGTCATTGCGTTTTTAATAAAGGGTGATATTCTTTGAACGGATTGACCAATTTGAGTATTTTTTTTTATCTAAAAGAGGCTTATGAAATTGGCTTTCCAGTCATTATTATGTTTGGTGCTACATATTTTTTTAAATATGAAATATATTTTGGGGGTTTGGGTTCCGCTGGTTTGACTCGCCCTGTACTAAACTAATCATGCAAAAAACGTCTTTCGAAGCTACAAGGGCAGTGTTTACTTCCCAAACACGAGATCCATTTGAAAAAAAATTAAGGTTATGAAACTTTAAAGAATACAAAGAATATAAAGGCTGTTTCGAAACATCGTTTTTCGCTTTGTTATAATTATTCATAGAACTGTGTTTAACAGAATATAACAGCCGTTGAAACTGACTTTGGGCAACTAGTAGAGGGTGGGATTTTCAAAGAAAAACAAAATGGCGTAGGCTATATATCGCTTTTTGGAAATAAGTCTTCAATTGTCTGACAACATTTGCAAAACATGAGTGTTTTTTGTTCGTCTTTCTTTTTACAGAAGTGACTTAAGAAATTGTATTTGATGAGGCCCACACGAAATATTCTATTCTTTTATTTGATTATTGATACGACGATGGACAACGTATACTGTCCGAAACGTTGAGTTATCCCCGGTTCCCTTCAGAACCTCACAAACTCACAAAAGAGATTTGTCCCATGGTGATAATATCGTAAATCTTTATCCTATCGCCATCTTTACCATGTAATTAAAACCTTTAAATCTTATTATTTATATGAATACGTCTTTTGACATCACAAAAAAGAAAAGAAAAAGAACGAGAGCCGAACTCACCAATTTTAAGACAATAGTTTATATTCATGACATTTAATAATCGTGAATTTTAATTACAGTTATCCCCGGTTCCTTTCAGAACCTAACAAACTCACAAAAGAGATTTGTCACATGGGTGCTTCCGTAATTAAATCTTTATCTTGTTGCTTTCTTCACCATACAAACCTTCAAATCATAATAATATGAATAATAATTACCCTGGATTGGACACTTCAAACTTAAATGTGCCCTTACCCAATATTCCCTTGTCCTTTTTCCACGAATTTCGGTTTGTTTACTAATCAGACCACGAGCAACAAATATAATCTAATTGCGACACCAACATTTTGCCTCTAAAGGGGGGCTGTGACAGGACCGATGTCTCCCATCGTGCGAAGAAATTACGATAACGTGTCTCCCGAGTGTACCTTTACACGTATATGTCTTTCGACATTGCAATGAAAAATAAGAAAAAGAACGAGAGCCGAACTCCCTGATTTCAAGACAATACTTTATAGTCATAGTAATTAATCATCGTGGGTTTTTACTTACAGACGCTTTGTGTGAGTTGCACTGTCGACCACTGGAAAAGCGGTTCATGCTGCCGATTAAATTCGCCACGGAGGTCAGGGATGGGACACCGTGCACTGAGGATTCCAGAGACATGTGCATCGGCGGAATCTGCTACGTAAGGATTGAATTATTCATCTTTGACACTTTTAAAAAAAATCTTCTTCCACACTTGCACGCTTGTGGGTGTCCCCAACTTGTTTGTCTCTGTAAAACTGTCCTTTTTACTTTGAGAAAGGTCTAACCAGGATCGACATATTAGGCCTTCTAGTTTTTTGATTTGTAAATTTCAGGTTATTTTTGCAGGCAGATTGCAGCAGGTTTGTTCATTTTCATTTTAATAAAGACAAAATAACATCGCTATTGTTTCTGTCTCTTCAACTGTGATTTAACTGGTTTCGTTATAAGACAGCAGTTTAGGGAGCCTTAGTTCTCCACAAACACTTAGTTTGTAAGCAGATGATATTACTATAGACTGTATTCGTGAGTCGGACATTGAAAGTGAGGTAAACTCTTCATTTTTGAAACTTGCGAGTAGAAATGTAAGCATGCAATGAAATAAACTTAATTACAAGTTAATACCAGTCTGCTCAGATGAAATATTTATTTTGTGATTAAACCTACCTAAGTAGGTTTTAAGCCACATTTAAAAACAAACTTAACAGTGAGGCCTGGCACGCACTTTAATCATAAACTAGTCTGGCACCATGCCATGTAACACTTTACAATATATAAAATAGATGCAGGGAATACGATCGAAAATGGTTTCCTCGTGTATAAGGTGCATTGATGTGCCTTTGATTCTCGAAAATTCATTCGAAACACAAACGCGCTTGGAGTATCATGGTTCATCCTTAGTTTGAGAATGAAAAGAAAGGGAATTCCAATGAATAAAGAACTTTTTCAAAGAGTATCTTATCTCCCAATATGTGGCATAGTTTGTTTTTCCTTTGCTTTGTTCTCCAGTGTTGCCACCTCTCTTGCAGATTTACGGGGTTTATTTCCCAATAATTTTTCCTAATTTATTTTCGGTCAGATCATGTTGTTCTCTCGTTTATCTTTGTCTTGGATTTAATTAATTAACTATTGGATTATTTCATGTGTTTGTTTTCTCTTCTAAAGGCACTCCGCTACAAGCCTTGGCTTATTAGGAATGTGCCTCCACAATATTGTCTTTTGCATTCTGTCATGTTTTGTTCAGTATGGAAATTAATGTAATATTGAATAGGCAGTGATGTTCTGGTTTCTGTTATTGTAACACCTGAAGATGATGGATTTCAACATTGAGAAAGTTGTCAAAACATTGACCTTAAAATAATTTTTCAATGACCATTTTTTTTTGTATAGACGGTAGGCTGTGACTACCAGATCAACTCAGAAGCTGTGGAGGATCGGTGTGGGGTTTGCCATGGCGACGGGTCGTCGTGTGAAACAATCAGAGATCAGCTCATCAAACAGTCTGGCTTCGGTAAGATGGTCGTCATAGCAACGCCACAAAGGCAGGTCCAGACGGAGGGTGGCAAACAGGGGGTCATTTGGGGCCGGGGGAGCTTACTACGCAAGTGTCTTTTTTTTTAAGGAATTAAACCGGAAAAGAAGTGAAGACGACTGTTTGAACTTGAAATCGATGCTACTCATCCCATTTCAATGTACAGATTTGTGAAATATAAGTAAAAAGACAGATCAGGGGGGTCTGTCAGGGGGAAGAGCGCCCCTAGCGTCTGCTATTTTGTCCGCTATACCTTATAATCTCAAGCCATTTTATAATCTAATGAAATTATATATATGTATATATAGAGAGATACATTAAAATCTCGATAAGTCAAACTTTGATAACTCAAACAACTGTTAAGTCAAACAAAGAATCCATTCCCTACAATAGTATAACAATGATATACAACCCTGCTTAACTCAAAACTCTGCAAGTCAAATTTGGAACCTGTTCCCTTGAGGTTTGACATTCACTGTATATATATTAAGTTTCTATCATTTTGTTTTGTTGTAATTTTTATTTTTTATTTAGTTCTTGGTTGTTCTCTAGTTTGTCATTCAGTATTATGAGAACAGTTTTTTTTGATAACTGGTGGTCTACTCTGGTTGAATAAGACGAAATAAATTTCAAAAAACAAATTACAAATATGTTTTTTTTTTTTTTGTTGCTTTTCTCAGGGTATGTGGAAGCTATGGTCATCCCAGCTGGCGCGCGCAACATCCGTGTCGAAGAGGTCGCGGAGGCCAATAACTTCTTAGCCCTCATGGACTCATCGGGCCACTACTACCTCAATGGTGGATGGGACATCAAATGGAGTGGGCGGTATGAGGCGGCTGGGACTATGGTGCGATATGAGAGAGACGATCAGAACAAGGAGACGTTTGATGCTAAGGGACCGCTCAAGAAACCGCTACACGTCATGGTAAAAAAGATGATCAATCAATTATAAATACACCTGTTAGAGCGCAGCTTTTTGAAGTTAATAAGTGCATTCGATGCTTGCTTTACGACAACAGAGTTATGCTTTTATTTCAACTGTCACGAGTTGACTAACAACACAACCCATGTTGTTGTTTTAACAACATGCTATCTTATAACATGACAGAACTGTTGAGAAAATACAGATGAGCTTAAAAAGTAACGTGTGCATTTAAAAAAGTTTCTATAAAATATTAAATTTGCTTTCTAATTTGTTTATATTACTATTTATATCGGCTATACTACTAGTAAAATACTGACAAGACTCAATTCAAATGAGTGAGTTTAAACTGTAGTTTAGAAACGTTTCCGTGGACTCGACAATTTACATGCTGTGCTGTGAAAATGTAAACGTCGTATTTTGATTTTAAAAAACCACAATAAAGTAAATGAAAGATCTTTAAAAGTCAAACTGAAGGTGACACTTAAACGACTGATCAGTTAAGCCCCGCCCACAACGCACGAGACCTTTGTCGGATATTAATCAATGCTGCGATTGGTCAATATATCATGGAGGCGGGCTTAATAGATGGGTCTACTGACGCTAGAACAAGATAAGAGATAATTGTGTGTGTGCCATGATACATGTATGCTCAACATGAATCAACATGGCCCGACACCATCAACCAAACAAGGCAGACAAAATAATGACATTATTATATTAATGATGAAGTCCGTATATGCAAACATTATAAACGAAAATTGGCATAATTAGTATACAGACAAGACGAATCCCGCAATTCACAGAGTTCTGTTTGTGTGATGACTTTGGGTATCTGACTGATGCTGCTTGCTAGTTCTACCAAGTCTGTAAGATAAGATGATTGTACCGCATCGTTGATGCCTGTCCATTGTGTCTGCGTCCAGCGTCTACTTCTTAGCAAAGATCCTCTTGCTAACCACAGCCTTGTCTCCGCTCCCAATGGTCTGAGTCTGGACCAACTGCCCGTCGATCAGCTCACGGACAACGTGGATGGCCTCCGGGTTGCTCTTGTTGTCGATCCGCAGCTTGTCTCCGTCCCACACGGGCGAGTAGGTGCTCGTCTCCTTCTCGTTCAGGGGGTTCTTGTCGGTGAACTCTTGCCCCACGGTGTAGTTGGACTCATGCGTCTTGACACCTTTGGAGATGACTTTGAAGACGTCTCCCTTCTGGGTGATCTCCAGGACCGGGGTGGCAGCCGCCGCCATCTTACGCACCGCGAAGTTGAGGCCCATCGCCTTCAAGAAGGCGTCCAAATTCTCGTTCTTGACCAGCTTCCATGTTCCGTCCAAGTCAATCGGTGCCATGATTTTTTGCAGGATTTTTGTTTTATCTTGGTGGCTGTTTAATCGGTGCCTTCAGTTCAGCTGCTTCGTGAGAAATGCACTCTAGTCACATATCAACTTATTTTTATACCCAACCACAGCGTTCAATATTGACAATAGATTCAGATGTGTGTGTGTACGATTATGCAATATCCTTTACACAAACATCAACCCCGTAACCTTTGTCGTTCCTAACAATGTCCTCGGCTCAGTGCGTCCATGCATGGGGGCTGTGGTACCTTTCACCTACATCTGAGTGACGCTGTTAAACTTGTTCCCCGCTGGCCACCTTTACAAAAAATCTTGTTTGCTTCACAAAGTATGTCCAAAAATCCAGAAACGTTTCAAGGAAAAGTTGAACCCTTTGTTTCTCACTCAGCGTGGACCCTGCACGGCGGTCTCATTCAGCTGCTGCAGTGCTCACTGTTGAGAGCGCCAAACAACATGATTCCTAACGTGGAAGTATATTTGGACGCGTCGTTGGCGCAGACCATTTCAAATAAAACATTGTTTGGGTTCTCGGGTTCATAATATGGGTTCTATGGCGCGCATGCAGTGCAGTCATGTCGAATGATTGTGCGTGCTTGTTGAACATGGATTGGAAACTGATCGAAATAAATGTTCGGATCCACGATTTTCTAAAGGGGTGACTAGGGGGTCCAAGATTTTTCAAGAGGGATGAATGAGGCAATGCATTAATGCATTCTAAGCATAACAAGACCACGGGTCTGAACAATAATTCAAGATTTACAATATTGAATGATGACTTAACTCATGGAACTTAAGAACATTTGAGGATTGTTTTCCACTATGCATTATAAATAGCAGTGGTCACTCGTTGGACGGGGTGTAGCCACCCTAATAACCATCGCCTTGCACCAAGTTCGCGACAAAACTGTTAAAAAAGGAAGGTACAAATGTTCGTTTGTGCTTGTAGTTCAATCTAAATACATGTAGTTTCTTTTTCTCGTTTAGTTACTATTTCAGTCCAAGACGGCAGGTGTAGCTTACGAGTACACGGTCCCCAAGCCCGGGAATATGACTGTACCTGTGCCTAAACACTTCGGATGGAGGATAGCTGGATGGACGCCATGCACGGTAACATGTGGCGCAGGTGAGAAGAAATTCACTATTAACATAATTATGCCAAAGATTCATAGACAGTATCTTCAACTTGGTAAATTTACTATGAACCATTTGAAAACCCGTTAAAATCGACATGCTTTTTAAAAACTATACTTTTATTTAAAATCTAATTTATTTGGGATTTCCAGCTATCCAGCACATGCTGTCTTTAGAAATAATTCCTCAATTTACAATTCTCTGTAAATCGTCGTCACATTTTAAACGATTTCTGCACCTTTATTAACTTCTCAATAACTGAACACGACGAGCCAATATGGCCCATCAGGCCGGTGTTTATCACTGGTTTCCTTGCAATGAAACAACTGAGAATATTCGTAATCCCCCGGCTAGGATGCCAGTCCATCACAGGTTACTCCCCAGCTAATGCCGGTACCCATTTATTTTCCAAGCTAGCTGGAGAGGGGCAATTGTAGGTGAAGTGGCTTGCCCAAGGACTCAACATATGACCAGCAGCTGGATTCAAACCCCTGGCCCTCTGATCATGAGTCTCAAACACTAACCACTAGACCACACTCCCCTTCAACTTAGCATGCTTTTCAATACGGAACCACTCGTACGTTCTCATAAGAGCGAGTTGTCATCATATGCACAATATAACTTGTAGTGGATTCATTTTAAAAATGTTCTTGTTTGATTCTTTGGGGTAGGTCTTCAGCGAGAGATCATCCAGTGTGTGGAGCGGATAGCTGGTGTGGTGGAGGATAAATACTGTAACGATACCAAACCGGCTAATCGGCAACGGCAGTGCAATGTACATCAATGTCCTGCCAAGTGAGTTTTGAAAAAAATAGTCAGCACCAAAATTGATCACATTTGAGTTAACAACATGTGTTGAATTGAGAAAAATATGTATCGCCATCAAACATTGTTTGGTTTACTTGCAGTGCCAAATAATGGTAGATTGTCAAATTATTGTGCAGATATGCACACATTCCCTGCAGTTAGGGGGACGGGGGAAATCTATTTACAAAATAAACTTTGCTTAGAAGGTCTGTTTGCTGTGCATGTGCCGAAAAATGGCAGATTCGTGACTAGGTATACATTCTTCATCTACACTTTTTTCTCTTCCAAATCAAACGATTTGACCATCGTTTTAATTGGCTGAAATACTGTTAGACAACTACTAACTTCAATTTATCACTTTGGCGCTTATTTTTAATCTTCTATAAAGTTGGTGGATCGGTCCTTGGCAACACTGCTCAGTGACCTGTGGGTCAGGAGGCATGCGCAGTCGGTCAGTGTTCTGCATACGCAGCATCGGGCAAGACGAGCAAGTCGCCCTGGTGGACGAGGATTGTCTTCGGCTGGGGCTGATGAAGCCGGAGACAACAGGGGGTTGTGGTGTGGCCATCGCGTGCCCGATGAAAGCTCACTGGGTCACCGGGGAATGGTCAGAGGTAAGTCAAAGGTCAGAAGTCAGAGGACACCCATCGGCTCCATCCCTGGCCTCCTAAATCACATGCAAATACTGTACTCTTGGTATCATATTATAGGATTTGAAGCAGAACACAGACCAGTATTGAGCAAGAGACTTAATAATCGCATTTCGCCAGAACGGAACATCCTTTTCCTCCAGTGGGAGCATCTTTCAAAGGTCACTGGGAAATGTTACTAGTGTGACTGTGACACGAGTATTGTAGAAATATCTATCACACTTTTATAGACATGGAATAGTTTTATGACTTTGATGGGTGTGGTATCTCGTTTGCATTGACGACATTTTATCTTAAACTCACATAATGGAGTTGTAATTGTTTTTCAGTGTTTGTACAGGAATGGACGGGCGGAGCAGACGCGCACAGTGCATTGCAGCAGGATCGATGCTTTCTGTGACTACAGCAATCGTCCATCTACCAGACAACCGTGTGAAGATTACTATGAATATTCATATGAATACTACGGTGACTACAGCGTAAAACGCGATGAAACACCAATCAGCTTCGGCGAGTGGGAACGCCTGAAAGAACAAGGTCTGCTGGATGCCAAGAGTCCTACAACAGGAGTGGCTCCCACGCAGATGGTGTCGAACTTCTTAGCCAATCAGGTGCCCGATACTGGACGTCATGGATACCCACTGCCGCCCGATGGCACGGACAGGACTCTGATTGGCGGAGCTGATGATGACGTCATCTTGGGGATTGAGATACCACGTGCTGTGGATCCGGACGGTGATTGGGTGGAGCCGTCTAAACGGGGCAATGTGATCGGTAGTACCAGAGAGGCTGAAACCATGGCCACACCGAGAGAAGAGGAACAAACAACGGAAGAAAATGGACTTGTTCAGCAGGGGAAAACGCTATGGTGGTTCTCAAGACCTTGGTCAGAGGTAAAACAGATTCACGACGACATCAAGTCTATATTGAGCCACAAAATTGAACTAAAAGTTGCAACACTTTTTTTCAGTATTCACACTTTTAGTTATACATTTTGTTAGTGACACTTTCTCCTCTTCTCTTGGTAAAAAAGAAATCGATTATTTTTCTGAAATTATATTGATTTCAAATTTAGCCCCTATCTTTGTTCAACACTTTCAGTGTTCTGTAAGCTGTGGCGATGGGATCCGGTATCGGATAGTGGACTGCCTTGAAGTCAGCACGGGATTTGCACACAGAGGCTGCGATCAGACCATTAAACCCAGCACAAGCGAAACGTGCCGTCTGGCAGACTGCAACGGTAACAGTGCATCATGTACGTATGTCTTGATAGTCTCTTACAAACAAATAACATATTTAACCTAAATTTATAAGATGGCAAATGAATCTTTTATAACGAATCATTCATCATCAGTTATTGGTCAAACAGTGTTAAATTTATAGGTACAATTATCATCAATTACAATTAGCTAGATTTTGCTCACTGTATTTTTTTTTTTATATATGTAGTCTCTTACAGTTGCGATGGCAACAAGCAGAGTGACACATGGTGTCGTCTGGTGCGTGTGATGGGCAACTGCCACAAGGACATATACAGGGACATGTGTTGTGCCACGTGTAACGCGGAACTAGAGGATATAGCCCGCCAAAACTCTAACACATAGGATAAAAGGAGCAATTGACGCCAATTGGTGCCCCGCAAGTGCCTCATGCTGCTTTCGTGTTATGGGAGGCACTTTAGGCTACCAATGATGTTGACTAAATCCGTTCCATCAATGCATGGCGTCATTATAGCGATAATGAAATAAAATGCTTAACAAAATTAGTTTCTGAAGTTATTTATTTTATTTTATATTTTGTTTTTGCAAACTTCAGACAATCACTTATAGCAATGATTTTCTACCCATTCGTTTAGTACTCCTAATTACCATTCAAGCATTAAACGTTATCTCAGCGTGTACATTTGTATTCTTAATGTATCATTCATGTTGACAGTGTGCTATTGGTGGATTTTGTATGCGAATGTACGAGGAGGCTGCTTCACAGATTTGTAAAGTTTTATTTGATACGTGATGAACTTTACTGTGAATGAAGTTAATATTTTGGAAGATGTCTGGACTGACTTTCATTTCATTTTATTTCAAATTGGTTTATTACTACATCATGAATCGCAGCCAAGGCTGAATTGCACATGATTTTTTTAAATACAATAATACTATAACATTACAACAAATACGATATACATGTTAAAATGTTCCTTTGGAAAGGTTCCAAAGGGAAGCGTTCCTCCTTTAGGGCGTCACATTTTCTTTGGAAGTTTTTGAAACCTCTTTTTGGGGAGAGAACTTTCATGAGGGCTTCATTGTAGCCTTTGTAATGTTAACGCTGGGGGAGATGTTTCTCGACGCTGGGGGGGGGGGGTTTAAGTATCTGCAAATCGATCTTAGAGGATTGAAACTGGTCTTGAATCTTAAAGTGTTATTAAAGTGGCTTTGGTCGTGCTGAAATGCTGAAATGCTTTTATTTATAAACTGAATGAATGAACATTTCGTTTGTAAATTTTAAACTGTAAAAATGCTGTAAGTTGTTTGTAAAGTGTAAAAAAGTATGTACACAATTTTTATTTATCTGCTTGGAGTAATTTGAAATGATTAATTTCTGCATGCCAATGTTAAAATTTAAATGAAAAACATGCAAGTAAATTTTTTAATAATATTCACCTGTATTTCAACATAAGTGCCCATGAAGTTTTGTTGTGGATTTTTTTTAATACAAGTTGTGCTCGACTTTAAACATTGATTTGTTTCGTGGTGAGAAAGCATTGTTCTTGCGATCGAGAACGTATACAGAGCGAGGCCTTTATTTTTTTTCTGGAATTTTTTGTCCCGTTGATTTTTGGCATTCGATTTTTTTTTCAGAATTGAATGTACACAAGGAATTAGCATGAGAAAAACATTGCACCCAAAATAATTATTTATATGCCAAATATTACTTTGCCGACGTTCGCTCGTCGGACTTACATTAACATACAGGGATACAGCAATACAGCAAAACAGTTATGACAAAAACAAAAGAGGCATAAATGTTTTATCTTGCCGATATTTGATAACCGGACTTACAATGTACCATGAATCAATAAATCTAAGCCATCAACAGGAAACACTCGTTTACAACTTCAGCCTTCACGTCCCACCTGTCCACAGACCTATGCAAATTAACATGAACTTTCCAGCCAATGGGATTAACGGAGTTCATAACCTTGCCCACGACGCGCGTGCCTGTCAAATTCCAGGCGCGCACTATGCGTATTATTATGCAAATGAGTCTTACAAACATTTATGACATGGCTTTTCGTGTACAAAGGCCGCCATTTATAAATAGTCGACAGTGTTATAGAGCTAGTAATGGATTTACTGTACTAATTCCATCGGTTGGGTCTAATTCTACCTCCATTATGGTGAAACTTACACTAATTATAGTGTAATTGCACCATGGAGTTCCATTCATTATATAAGTTTGTTATGAATTAATTTAATAATGACAACTTCAGGTCCTCGGCAGTAAATCATTCACCAATAATTGCCGTTTTGCTATAAACCCTATGACTAGCGGTCATGTTAGAGTGTAGGGTACCTCTTAATTTCTCTTAGTAACAATGAATGCATGAAAGATTCTCTCATGTATATATATATATATATATATATATATATATATATATATATATATATATATATATATATATATATCTCAGCAAAACAAGGGATGGCCCTCTAAAATGGCTGCTATATGCATAACTTCCAACAAAACCACTCGTTTTTATGGCGAAGATATTAAAACAGGGGAACAACAACATTAAAAATGCATAGGGCCTATAGGAAAATTATTTACATTATAATAATTAATCCCTTTCATTGAAGCGGTTATTGAGAATCTACCATGAAAAATATAGAGTTTATAAGATTTCACTCACCTGTGGTATATTTTAGAGAGTTGTTGTTGCCGACATGCTGGTCGAAGTTCTTGAGACAAGCGTGAGCCTCCTTCTAGTCCTAGCCTCCATACAAAATTCTCGACTGACCCAGAATTCACAAAAGCCCGCTTCCGAAGTTTTCATTCATTTGAGTCCAGTTCGACATTACGACGTCACACAACATGTTCAATATTCCTCAATACTGTAGTCTTACTCCATGGGTGAAATTTCAGCTAGCTCACGCTAGTTCAAAAAGCAACTGTGATAGTGTGACGAACTTGTCGAAGAATAAGACCTGTCAACCAACGAACGATACACACCGGACGAGTACGGACCCGGCCGGTCCACATAGAGTTTGTGCTCGGCGGATGAAAGCGAAAACTACGCGGCATGTGAGGCCGGACTTGCCAAATTGAACATGGAGTCGTTGGATGCGAGAAGAAGTTTACGAGAATAATCTTGAACTTGCAGCTCAATGGTTTAGCAGGTATTTCAATCAGTTCAAATGGACACAGGTTGACGAATTCTTTCGTCACATGACTAGAAACATTCCTGTGTGCGTGAGATAGTTCACATTACAAGTACGGAGGTTCAAAACATAAATCCCGAGTGAATTTCAGCCGCCAAGTGATTAAAGGAGTAAAAACAAAATGGCGCCCGCAAGACGATGGTTGAATTGGGCTGATTACTCCGATTTTATCCGTCCGCACAGACAATTTGCAGGATCTTTTTTTACACCAATTTACGGAAAGATACACACGATTTAAATCAACAATAGGCGGAGAAAAGAATAAAGAGAATATTACTTCCTCTCTTGTCGTATTAAATTTATTTCGATCAAAGGGCCCTACTTTATGGGAAGATAATTCAAGAATTCGCAAGTCAGTGACGTCATTCTAATGGACAACTGCCATTGGTCGAAAGTGAGATGGGTGACTGCAGCATGGTTAGGTGATCAATTTCATTGGATTAAAACAAATTGCTAATTTGAATAGATGAAAACATGTGTAGTGTTCGAACTGATTTCTATAGAGTTAAATTTATATATTCAAATAAAACTGTTTATGGAGCAATGTATTTTGGTATCTCGGCCCCTTAATAGTAAATTTTCCTGTTCAATTTTAATCCTCAAACACCATTGCAACAATCCTTATTATTTTAACGCCAATAAAAGAGGAAGTCTTTACATAGCGCCCTCTCTAGTCTCGGGCGTTGCAATTTTATCAAAATGGCGGCCGCCGGTGATGTGTTGGAAGTTTTGGAAACCAGAATAAAATGTCTTGAAGATCGAATATACGGGAGTGAATCAAGTCTAGGCAAAGAGGCAAACAATCCTGAGGTAATACAGATTTCAAATAAAATAATATGATCATTCATAATTATCATGTCGCTTAGAAATTGATGTGAAATAATTTTACATTATTGTTGACTTTTTGTTTTTATTATTCATGTTATTTAAGCAGTGTTAAGCATGTTAAACATTTTAAGGCATTGTATATTTTGCCGGAGACGGCAAACCTTTAGTAAACGTTAGTTTGCCGGATATGCACTGGGTTTTTTTTTTCTACAGTAGTTTCTTTACTTTTAATATGTTTGTAATCAAGCTATTGTTTATATTTAAGTAGATTTAATTTTCATGATTTTCTTCTTTGTAAATTGTAGCTAGGCAGCTAGGCCTAGCTGAGAACCTCCAGCATTGTCCAGCTCCAATTCTCACCAGGAATTCAGGATTCAGAGCTGGAGGTCAATAAACATGTGTAGCAAATTCTGAAAATGGTGGAGGCCGTGAAATTTGGCCTCAACACAGCCGCCGAAATCATCTTTTTTTTCCTTCATGATTTGGCACAATTGCCAAATACCCCGCCACTCAATCTATCCACCTTGTAGCGGGCTACAGAGTTTCGGTTGATTGCCCTCAATAAATCTTCTCAGCGCTACTGGCATGTGCTATGCGTCATGCTCCACTGCACTCCCAATCCGTATCCGCGTAGTTTGGACTGAGAATTTTTTCAACAACTCCCATTCCTTTTGTGTTGCTTCGTTCTCAAGCATATTCAAGGAGACTCCCACTCCGTATCCGCGTAGCCGGCAACAGGGTGGTTGGTTTGGACTTAAAAAATTTTCAGCAACTCCCATTCCTTTTGTGTTGCTTCATTCTCAAATAATGGACCCCCACTCAGTATCCGCGTAGCTGGCAATGGACTTGAAGTGTTTGTTTTCCAGTGATTCCAACCACGTACAGTATGTGTAGCCAGAGAATTTAGGGATGTATTTCCAAGTGGCGGGGTATTCTGCAATTACTCCATATTTTAGTCAGTTTTGTTATGTTTCAAGTCGATCCTTTGCTTTGAAATGATTTATGAAAGCAAAGGATCGAAACAGAACAAAACTTACTAAAACAAATTTTAAATGATGATTTCGGTGGCTGTGTTTAGGCCAAATTTCACGGCCTCTGCCATTTTCGATATGCTATGTACAATGTACGTAGTTTTGTGTCACGTATTAAATGTTGAATTCCCGATGAGCATTGGAGCTGAACTTTCTCAAGCTATGTAAATTGTAGTAATCAGTGGCTTTAAACTTTGAAGGATTTTGTTTGTACATGTTTAAAGGAAATAGGTCTGAAATCTGAGAACCATTCAAATGGTTGATACTCACTGCTAGTCTGGTTCCAACAGTCACAGATCCAGATAATTGACTGCCATGCTGTAACAATAGCTGTTGAAAATCGCATGTTTAGAGTCCCCGCCTGCTTCCCTTTTGGAGGCCGCTTCCTTTTTTTTGGTTGTTGTTGTTGAAATAAAACGAAAAAATTATAATTTTAAACAGGGACATCATTTTGGCATCTTTCTTTGTTGTATCTAGCCCATAACGCTGGTACATGTATGTTATTTCCTGAGTCCAAGTGGCGGCCATTTATATAAAAAAAAACCTGGAGGCCATCTTGAAAAATAGCCCGGCAGGTCGTTTTTGAAAAAAAAGGACCTCCTCTTTCCTTTTTTCAAAAAGCTAGGACGCTAAACACGTTTTTTTTATTTGGCGTAAAGATAGCCATTGCCAAGTTTCTTTTCATGGTCATGATTCATTGATTGATGGTTTACATGTATGCTTGTACGGGAAATGATTGTAGTAGCCTTGCATCATTTGTTTCTTTCCTTCATTTGTGGCTGCAGGTATTAAAAACTCTGGGCGGTGTGAAACAATCACTGGATGGACTTACAACTGGGAAGGAACGCATCCAAGCACTGTGGAAAAGATGTATGTGGGAATTTAGGATGAATGAATATTCAGTTTTTCAGGCAGTGGGTATGGATTCAGTACTGGTTCTCAATTTTGCGATGCTACTTAACCAGCAGACCTGGACATCATGTGTAGTCTGGTGGCAATGATATGGAGAACGTGTAGAAATAGAGACTAGTACCAGATGTTTGTTTTTTTACACAGTTGATTGATGCAGTACTAGGGGTGTTTGACTGGATGCTCCATGTGCCAGTTTATTTTCTTGTGTTGCATATTTTTACTATCTTTAGTTTTGGGACTCATACACAGAATTGAGAGTTCAAAATTTTCAGACTAAGACCCCAAAAAAAGTTCGGGTTTCTGATCTGCGCGTGCTTCACCGTAGCCATAAGCGTCGGCAAAGATAAAAAGATATTTTCAATTTAAGATGATGTCTCAAAAACTGCCAACCTCACTAGTTTGACTGGAATCCTGCTGCTGCACAATTTTAACATGTTTTTAGATGGGGTTACAGTTGAGTGTAAGTTTTTTGTGGCCTCTCTGAGCTCCCATATATTTTGCGCTAAATTTAGTCTGGCACCATTTGCAGACGGTGTTATAATTTTGTAACTGTGCATCTGGAAGCCAGACTGAGGGAGCCATGGTCGTGTACCTGGAACCTGTAAACACTTTCTAATTAGCGCAGTATGTAAGGGAGCAGACTAATGACCAGCCCGGCAGCACATGCACGACGTCGATGTTGCTGTATTGTCTCATGTTTACCACTTTCTCTGATTTTTGTCGTGACTATCCAAATTTCCCGAAAGACGTTCATGTTGGTCGAGATCGTAAGTGGGTGCAGACTTCTCAAGCCTTATGGCCTTACTGAGGTCACCTCAAGCTCCACCCTGAAGGATATTTTTGAGAGTTTTAAGGGGATCGAAGTGTCATCTTCAACATCAGCCGACATTGGAAGAAATAAAATAGGGGAAAAAAAGACCCGTTGGCGCACCACTATTGGGGCAGGCTCCATACCAAAAACTGAAGACATTTTAGGGGGGGGGGGGCTAATGTCACCACCAGATTCACTATCTACCAGCAATTTCCAGCAACCAACTGTGACTGATGTCATGATGTGCAAGAGTATAACTTTGCATTACTTTGTTTCTTGCCTTTACAGTAGAGGAACTGAACAGTAATCTGGATCCTGAACTGACAGACAAGTTGACTCTGACTGAAGATGCTAAAGCAGACATTATATTAGCAGGTTGGTGGTCATTCAGTGCAGAAAATTTGCTGGTCAATATGTTGTCGTATATTAGATACGCATTCACCTGCCACAAGAGGGCGTAATCACAACAGATTACTATCACCAACCTCATTCCCATGGTGTCGAGCAGTATGCTCCCGCCACTACCTCTGTTGTACCCTTTAACTGTGTTGAATGCATATATAGAGCTATATTAAATTACTAGAGTGCTAACTCGATGTACAAAGTAATGCCTGATGGGCGCATCCATGTTTGTGCACAAACTTATAAACTCAAAATTTTGTATAGCTTTTGTACGGTTATTTGCATATCTGCGTTTGTATTCCATACCGGTGCATCATCGAAGCTGATACGCCCAAAACCATAACGCACGTTCAGCAAATGAGCATTTCATTTTGCTCTACGCAAACAGCACAATGTGTGCGCGTCCCTCCGCTGCAGATACTTTTCGCCGTGACATTTTGGAACCGTTATGACGCGCTTAAGTTGTTTGCGTATCTTCTACTTGCGCGTTGCATTTAGAGTACACTGTTAAACTTCAATCCGTTTATTTTGATTGTGTTCTACAAACACGCACATAAATTCAAAATGTCTGAACCCAGAGCGGCTTCAAAGTGTCTCCGCGCACAAGAATGAAGAGTTAGTGCTCTAGTAATTTAATTTAGCTCTATGGTTGGATGTACTAAAGAAATTTAGCTTGATGAAATTTTGAGTGGAAAAATTAACGATCCAGTGATATATACTTTTTGGACAAGTTCTTGTATTTGTTGTTTATCTTTTCAGAGGAAGCACAGCTCAAGAAACTGGCAGGGTTGCTGGAGAAACTCCAGGGCATGAAGGGCACACTGGACAGTGAACATACCAAAGGTACGAGCTAATGATGTGCAAGCCCGACTCGAAACCGACCCGAAACCGACTTCGGGTCGGGTCGTGTCAGTTTGTCCATCTTTTAAGTCGGGTCGGGTCGGTTTCGGTTTAGCATTTACATTTTCGGGTCAGGTGGGGTCGGTTTAGCCATCTTTTCAAAAACCGAAATAAACCGAAACAGTTGAGAAATTCAAGTGATGCAATATTATGGACAATCACTGTGACCGCAGCCCATTGTGAGGTGTGGCCACCGAGCGCACTATCAAGTTCCCATGGTATTAATTTCCAGTCGGATCGTGACTGACAGTGAAATAAATAGATTATAACAGTTTTCATGATACCGCGTGGTGACCATGCGTTTGTTCAATAAGCGGAGTTACTCTTGATCAACCCACTGAGTATGACAGAGAGAGAGAGGGTAGCAAAAGAATTCATGCCTCGTGGGTAAGGGCAGGCACAAAAAAGTGATCACATTGTCCAAGCCAGGTATTCGGTTTTTCCTGGGTTTTTTTTTTTAGGTCGGATCGGTTCGGGTTGGTTTTACCTTATTTTTTTGTCAGGTCGGGTCGGGTCGGTTTGAGGGAGTTAAGATCGGTTTCGGTTCGGATTTGGTTTATATCTCTAATGTTTCGGGTCGATTTGGCCTGGTCGACCCGACCTGATCCACATCATTAGTACGAGCCGACTGGGACATTGAGTGCGGACAAAACATGCAATACAAAATCAGGCCAACTTAACTCACTCAGCCAACAAAATGCTCCAAAATTTCCATGAGGCAAAGACAAGGTCCTCAGTATTTCACCAGCCAAGTTTGAGGTCTCAATTTAACTTTTAAAGGAGACTTTTCCTTTCATATTTTGCACCTGAGAGTGAAGCCAAGCGATTTCAATTTGAAGCCTAAGACTAGACTGGTACATCTCCAACTGTTTAAGAGGATTGACCCTTCAGTGGTCTGGTGGCAGACTATGGAGAGATGTGCAGAAATAAACCGGTACCAGATGTTTGACACAGTTGATTGATTCACAGTACTAAAGGGGTGTTGGACTGGTTGTTTGACCCTTTGGCAAAATCCTCTTTGCCAAAGTAGAGGAATTTGGAGGCTTGAGGTTACATGGCAAAAGTGCGTTACTGATTTCGTAGGATGCACTTTGTCAAGGTCTTGTGTTGGACCTTGTGTTGTTTTTGCTCAGCCATGCATAAATATAGGTCTAGATTATGCTTGAAATCCTCCGTACTGCTCCAGGATGTCACTGGCCAAGCCTCAACATATTTACAGTCGCTGTCGCAGGATTTTGCAGGATTCAGGCATTTGGTCACTCCTCCACGGACCATATTCAAGAAATAATGGAGGAATTTGCAGGATTGAGGCCACATGCTATTTTTCCATGAGGCCAATTGGAGGATTTTGCAGGATTGAGGCTACATGTACATCCTAGCAAAAAGGCCTAGGGAGTTTGGGTTAATGCGCAAGTCTATTTTGTTGTATTGCAAAGTTTTTTACTATCTTAAGTTTTGGGAGTCGCGTGCACAGTATTGAGAGTCCCTAATGTTCAGACTAGGTATGAGTATGCTTCAAGCTGCCATTATTTGGCGTCATGGAATTTTGCTTCAAGGAGATGTAAATTTAATAGTGAACCTTCTGGAATTACGTCAATGAACGGCAAAACCAAATATTGAATGAGGCTTCCCCTTGTGTATGTGTTTTCTGTCCATTTTATGTCCACATCTAATTTATTGGCCTAACTACACAACAGACAGTCAGACCCAAAATGGGCTGAATTTATGATGGAAGACATCTTCCATTAAGGGTTTTCAATATTTAGGCCAATTTCTTTCAGATTTTGCTTCTTCCATCTGTGTACAGCATTTTGCATGAATTATTAAGTTTTTGTGTTACTAAATTTGTTGTTGTTGTTGTTGTTGTTGTTGTATTTAGGAGCCCCAGCATTCCGAGACAAACTTCAACCTCTTGTGACAGTACAACTGGACCAAAAGGTTAGGCATTTTTTGTTGCAACACTCTCTGGTTTTGAAAAGGTTAAAGGGTATATACAACATTTGCAAACATCAAAACACAAAACTACCCAATTATTTTGAAATACCTTACTGGAATATTAGTGAATGACAGTCTAAAGCATCCTATAAAATCATGGCACCTGGTGTGCTGTAAATTTCAAGAAATGTGGTATTTTTGTATCAATTTCCAACGCTGGTCAGCCGACCAATTACCATATTTAGTTAGTCCACATTTTGTTTGCAATCGATTACACGCCTATGAACATGTACAAGCAAGTTAGACTGACCCCGACCTCACAATTCCCCGACATCTATAAATTGCTCTGTTTCGTCTGAAGTGGGGTCAGGGAACCAGACTACAAGAACATGATAGTTTTTCTTGGTTTTTCCAGCATCTAAGAACACAGAACTTCAAACAAGTCAGTGTAACAATATCTGCCATAAATTACTAATCCCCTAAATCCATCAATTTCTAAAATACAGTAAAATCAAATGTGATGCGATCAAGCTACATAGCCGTTTGTCGAAATTTTCATTTGGAGATACAGGCCAAAATAGGGGCACTTCATCAAATCACTTCATCACATCTCTTGGTGTTCCCACTTCCATAATTTTTTAACTAAAGATGGTATCAGCATGCGGTTCTCACATCAGTAATGCTGAGATTGTGCTCTTCTCAAATCTGTTATAAATTTTTTTTTTGACCGGAGTCGACAAACGACTCATTTAGCTTGATCTCATCACAAATGTTGTAGTTCTGAAGAGTTTTGAAGCAATTTAGAGCAACAAACACAGAAATCTGGCAGGATCTTCCATTGTATGCCACCAACTACTATAAATATTTAATTTAAATCACTTTTAAGAACTAATGAAGAAGTCTATTTCATTTTTGTTTATCACAGGAACGTGCACAAAAGCAGAATCAGGAGGTCAACGAACTATTGGAAGCATACAACAACATCGTATCCTTTGCATCAGAAAAGGGTTTAGATTATCAAATCAGTTTTCTGTAATTAGTTGAGTTTGGTTAGGTGTCCAGTCTGCTAAGCATATGACCTTTGACCTTAACGTGACCCCGCCCAGATCACACTGATATCCCAGCAGTTCGTCCAATGGGACGCCGTGATGACCCGCTATGAGGTTGCGAAGAAGGTCCGGGAACCTAGTGAATATTACTGAGAGGCGCAGTACTTGATGCCGCCTGTCTCTTGCTCCAGTTCTTCAGTAAAAGTCACTTAATTTATTGAGGATTAAAACTTCAAACCATGCCTTGTAAATAAGAACACATGCACTGCTTCATATTTTATTTGATTTTTTTAAAATTAGCCAGGATACTCTTTTCAGATCCTGATATCCATAAACAAGAAAATTTCAGTTCAATTAAAATCATAGATCTTTTTTTTTGTTAATTTTCAAATCTCAAGTTCTTTTGTTTAAAGGGGCACTAGGTCCTGAAATCTTAGAAAATGTCATGTTTTGGATCGTTTACTTATCCTATTTCAAACATCTGGTTGAAAGGAAACCAACATAATGTCTTACCGTTTCCCGAAAAAAGACAGGAAAAAACGGTTGTTTACATCGGACACGACGGAGTACGAATATGTTTTTTCTGTCGTGCACAATGTACGACATACACTTGTGTCATGTGTCTACAGGTACACAGCATCGTGCTTGCGAACAGCAGTGACCAATTACCAGTGCACAACATGTGGTTTCTTACACGTCCGCAAAAGGCGAACACTTTACGGATGAAATCACAACTAGCACCCAAACAGCTCAACTTTTTGGGGTCGCAAACAGAACCCCAAAAGTCTTTTTGGCACGCGTAAAACAGGAATAACACAAAAACGCCCAGCTTTTAACGGATAGTTGTGTGGATGTTTATATCCTACTTTTCAATGTTCTTTCCGATGAACATCATTTCGTTCAAAGCGCGTTTTGTAGCCCAATTGGGCTGTTCCAGGATGCAGTATCCCTTTAATTAATAAGGCAAGGCATTGCAAGTGAAAGTTGTGTGTATTGCAGTAGCATTAACCAGCATCGTGACATTTGAAACTCGCAAGTTGAGATAATTTACTGACATTAAATGTTGGTTTCTGTTTCAGAACATACAACTGTTTCTTTATAAATCACATCAAATGTCTTCACAATCATTTTCCCTAGTGAGTGACTGTTATTTGTTGAGATAAAAGATCGAAAGTTTATATAACAAGGCTCCCTGTTTTGCTTGTAAGGTGAAACTATGGTGTTAAGATTTTCAAGTGCAATAAAGTAGCATAACGATTTTAGAGTATTGTGTGTATTGAGCCAAACGATTAGGCCACGTCCAAAAATAAACCAGTTTCTCATCCCTGTACCACTTTTCTTTTCGCAGCCTCTTTTTTTTCCTTTTTTTTTTTTTTAATATGTTTGCAATTTATTTTGCATATCATAGTATCAATAAATTGACTTTTTGTTTGTTTCCAACAAAATTGTAGCTATATTATTGGGTTATTGTTCCTTTGGACACAATTTTGTTCAGCAAAATGGTCAAGAAAATAGAATAATCCATACGCCGTCTTGGAAACCGGCCTGTTTGCTTGAGAAATACAGAAGGAACAAAAGCACCGGCCTCCTTCATTTTATTTCAAAAAGGTCGGACGAGAAACTACTAATGGACCGATCCAGTAAGCTCCGCCCAGTGCACACGTGGGCAAATTAACACGCGCTCCTCTCCAATGCCACGCTGCATTTTACTTCCGCGCGCATCATACGCGCGTGCACGCACGTCGGACATAAATCACGGCTGTGATTGGTCAGAACACCATGGGCGGTGCTTACTGGATCGGTCCATTGTTAAACGGCCTTACAGTTCAAAGACTGCTGTACTCATATACCTATGGGGAAAAGCTTTATCAAACCGTGGATAAAACATGTTTTTCATTTATTATTGGTTTGTAGGTATATCACAGTATTCTTTTATTATTTTGTTTGAATCTACCATATGTCCCTGTTTATCAAAAAAGGGGTACGCCGCGTACCGTACGCGATAATTGTAAACTTAAGACTCGCACTATGGACTTTATATCATGAAAATTAAAGGGGCTCGAACAAGTGTGAGTTGTGAAATGTTTGTATTTATTATTTACACTTGGTGTCCCGCTACCCTCATTGCTTTTGATGATTTCAGATTATTGAATTTTCCTATTCCAAATCGCAAAAATGGGTTTTGCAGTTCCATGTTGGTGATGAGAACATGAGAAAACAACGGGTGGTTTAGTTTAGGCTGGGTTTCTGTCTCCTAATTGTTATAAACAAAGAAGGAGACCGACACTAAAGTAATTTTTGCTGTCGGTTTCTGAGTGTAAGCCTAAGCTAATTTCTTTGTGTGAAATCAGACGCAAAGAAAGTTCGGCCTACCCGAAGTTTTACTTTCTCTACGGCACAGTGGCGGCGCTCAAAGAGGGAGGGGCATTTGCCACACCCAAGTTTTTTCCTCCCCCTCCCCCACTTCCCCCCCCCCCAGTCCCCCCCCCCCCCCCCCCCCCGTTACTTTCCCCCCCAACACTAATAGTGTGCAGCCAACGTCTTTGTGCATTTGTTATACATGTACATTTGTTATATATCCTGCGGTTTGATACATTTCTCATTCATAAAAACAACTACCGGTACACTCCTAAAGTTGCTCTTGATATCTAACGGCTTCGGACCATTGACAATGGGCACGCGCGCGCGTGCACAGGCTTAAGATTATATTTTCTCTGCCCTCCCCCCCCCAAAAAAAAATCCTTGCCCATCCCACCCCCACCCCACCCACAATTTTAGAGTCTGGCACCGCCACAAGTTCCTCAAAAAAAAAATCGGGAGGAATGGTGCACTCTCCCCGGTAATTCTTAAAACGTAGTACCATGGTAGTACCCACTACCATTGAATTCCTTCCTCCATGGTAGTACTAGTACATACCACCAAAATATATTTTACCGGCAGTCCTAAATCTACAACAGCAAAACTCCTTGGAAACTTGAATATTTCTACAAATTTCCAATAATAACTAAATTTCCAAAAAATTGCCGAAATTCCCCCATAATGACCGCCCACTTCCGAACGATCCGGACCTGTTCGATTGAAAACCACTTGTTTGCATAACTTGATACCACTAGATAAGAAAAGTAGAATACTTCCCGTCAATTTCCAAGTAATCCACATTTTATTCATCCTTTGGGAATCTTTCGTTTCCTCTTTCTTTAATATCTGGGTGATTTCGCAATGTCTACCATGTGAGGATTAGTCACTGGATCTGTTATAAAAGTTGGGGAATTTCGGCTACTTTCGCTTGTGGTTTTGAGGGGAAATGTTCCGTAAAATATGGGGGGAAATTTATGTATCACTATAACATGCACACAAAACTGAATAGTGCGGGAACCAGTGATATTGTGAATGGGACCACATGTATCATTTCCATCAGAGTGCGGTCGGTTACCAGATGACCTTTCATCAGCGCAGGCCGGAGTGAAAATCCTCGTGTCCGAACGCCGCCGATATCGGTGCGTTTTCTGCCCGGAAAATTCGACATTCCCAGGGTTTCTGTCGCGCAGTGTAGTTCGTCCAGAGGTTTTGGAAGGTTCCGATCCAACTCCTGGGGCACCATGAGCGAATCTGCGGCATTGGAAACGGCAGAAAATGGCACGCAGGTTCCAGCAACGGGACAGCTGGCTAGCGGCGACTGCCAGTTGACCACGCCGTCTTCTGAACCCGATTCACCCTCGACATCTGCTTTGTCGACCAGCCCGAGTACACTTCACAGCCCGCCCTTGGTAAAAGTTCAATTGATGATATTGTTCCATAAAATTCGTGGAAAGAGTTTAGTGATGTACATGTATGGAATTCTTCCCAAATTGATTTTCATGCTTATCATGCTTATAACATAATTTTTAGGAATTCAGGGTGGAGTTTTTCGGAAAAAATGTTGCAAACTGACGCCACTTCAGTGGCTGCGTGCAAAGTCTACGGCGAGTCAAGACAATTTTCCAAGTATTTCCTAACAAAATTGGAATTTGGAATTGTTTCTCAGTCCCAGATTCATGTCTATCATCATTTTTGCAATGACTGACCTTCGTTGAGATAAGCCTATATGAAAAAAAAGTGGCGTCTGGTTGCAACAATTTTTCCAGTTTTTCATTTAGGCCCCTATCATGTTTATATTATAATAAACTTTAACTTGCTTTCAAGTTCAACCGTAAATCTGTTTTAAATTTCATGATAAAGATGTTGCAACCTGTAGCCACTTTAGAAATAATTTTGCAACCTGACGCCACTTCCGCAATTGTGTACAAAGTCTATGGAGTCAAGAACATTTTTCTAAGTGGGGCCTATTTCCTAACAAAATTGGAAATGTTTCTTACTCAGTCCCAGATTCATGTCTTATCATCATTTTTGCAATGACTGACCTTCATTGAGATGATATATGAAGAAAAGTGTGGCGTCAGGATGCAACATACTTCTTTCCAAATTGATTTTGTTTGTACATGTTGTAACATGGTAACATGATTTTAGGAATTCAGGGTTACCTGTTTTACAAACTTCAACTTTCAAGTTCGACCTTACATTTTGTAAATCTGTTTTAAATTTCATGATCAGATGATAAGATGTTTCAAGCTGACGCCATTTTTTCTTCATATACATCATATGTATCGTCTCTAAATAAAAGTCAGTCAAAAATGTTGAAAAGACCAACTGTTCCCTTGAGGTTTGTCTTATCGAGATTTCCCTGTTATTGAAAATGGACAACCTTTATTTTCCCCCACCATAAGGGAAAATTGTTGTGACAAAGCTGGCAGTTTGGACATTTTCACTTTCTGAACCCACACGTAGAGTCAGAACCATTACAAAGTGTGCCAACAATCAGGGGTGTATATGACGTAAGTTGATGAGATTCTGTTTGGTTTCTCAGGTACAAATTTCCAGTCCTCCAGAGCAAGATCCATCCGGCGATGATGCTGGTGGAGACACGAGCAGTGGGTCGCTCACCGACGACGCGAACACACCAGGAAAAGACAGAAGCGGCTCGATCAACGAAAGCCGATCAGATGACGGAGGTGGCGAAAGTTCGGAATGGACGCCCCCGGACGAGGAACTGCAGAACAAAATCATCAAGCAGGTCGAGTTCTACTTTTCAGACGCCAACATCACGAAGGATGCTTTCCTCCTCAAGCACGTCCGTCGTAACAAGGAAGGCTTCGTCAGTCTCAAGCTCATCACCTCCTTCAAGAAGGTTAAGAGTCTCACTAAGGACTGGCGGAACGTCCGTCACAGTCTCAAGAGCTCTACCACGCTTGAAGTAAACGAAGAAGGGACCAAAGTTAAACGTAAGGCTCCCTTGCCTGACTACGACGAGACAACGCCTTCAAGGACGGTCGTCGCGGTGAACTTACCAACCGAGAACCCATCCATAGAAAACATCGCTGAGCTTTTCAACAAATGCGGGGAGATTTCTCTGATCAGGGTCCTACGCCCTGGCAAGCCGTTCCCGCCGGACGTGCGCAAGCACATCGAACGGCACTCCGAAGTCCGCAACAAAGTATGCGCCCTCATCGAGTTTGAGAGCGGTCAGTCAGCTCTCAAAGCTGCCAAGATCATGACCGATAAAGACAACTGGCGGACCGGAATGTCGGTGACAGTACTAGCCAAGGAGAGGAAGAAAGAGAAGAAACAGGCTCAAGAAAAGAGCAATAATCGTAAGAGTGCGGAGGGTTTGTCGCCCTCACAGGGCGGTGACCTAACGGCATCCGACGGCGGAGAAGGGGGCGACTCGGCCAAGAAGAAGAAACGTCAACGGAAGAAGAAAAACGCGAGAGTGGGCGAGTTGGCTGCAGACCGTATCAAGCAGTCCGGCACACCAAGCTCATCAGATGCTGAGAATTCGCCCCTACCAAGTCGCAGGCAAGTCAGTAAGGCAATCAGCGTGCCACAGAGTAAGAGCCCCGCCCACCTTAGCCCAAGCAACACCCCTAAAAGCAGTCCCAGCCCCAGCCCCCACGGAAGCCCACGTCAGCAGAGGAAAGTGGTCGGTAGATCCCCGCTGGCCAACTCCCGGAACAGCCCCCGAGCAAGCCCGGAGATGGGACGCAAGGTCTACGACAGCTTATCCGATCACAGCAACACGTCAAGTCCGTGGGTGCAGCGGCGTAAGTTACTAGCGGCAGCCGTGCCCGAAGGTAGCCCAGCGGGCAGCCCCCTATTGGCCCGCAAAAATGTGATTCATAACAACGATCAGGGGGCCTTAGTGAGATCTCCTCTAGGCCCAGACGGTACAAGAGGTTTTGCTGCTGGGCGCGGTCGTGGTAGGCCTAAATCTGAGGGCATGTAACAATCTTATTCATCAGGTATTCAAGTAATTGCTACCCAAATAATAGGGGAGGGGGTGGGGATTTTTCTCTTTTTCAGCCAGTTATTAAGTAATTGACACCATTTGCAAACTGTATTTTTGCCGATTCAAGGAACAACAATAGAGTAGGCTGCCGAAGTGAGTACGTCATGCGCACAATTATGTGTGTAAAAAGGGATTAGAGCATGACTCGGCCCGTGAAGCAACACGCGCGCGTACTCCATTTGTTTGCACTACACTTCTCCGTTCAAACTGACGTCACACACTCAACTCGTTTCACACACAATGAAACCGAAGCATTTTTTAACCAGTTAGTGCCGGATTATTTTGACATGACCAAACCCAGGCGCGGGATAGTTTTTCACGAACCTCGGTGCTAGATGGGTTCAGGCCGTCATCTGCGGGTAGCACACCCTTCTATTTCTGGCCCCGCTCGCTGTGAGTGGGTTGCTGACAGATATTTCCAGCCTCGCTCATTGCATGTTTATCCGTCATCCGTTCTGAATACCGCAAAACCTTTGCGCGAACTGGTTAAAAAAAAGTAACTACATGTAGGGCTGTTCATTTTGGAATACTTTAGTATTTGATTATTCAGAACTTCGTTGACCGAAACTTCAAATACTCTAAACTCGCGTTTACACATGCCAGCTGCAACTACAATTCTACGCAAAGCGCGTCGGATAAAATTTGCATGCGATAAATGTTGTGGGTCGCTAAGTGTTTTGTAGTAAGTATCTTATAACTGTCAAGGGCTTTAACCTGCTTAACGGATGAGAACACTGAACTGCCATCGACAAAAAAAGTTACTTTTGACGATAAAGCGTAGCAACTTTACGATTAAAAAAACTTCATGGATGTGTAATTGAGTGGCTTTTTATTTTGAAAATATTCAAATTTTTTGACAGTTTCATTTTAGAATGTTTGCAAATGGTATCCATTACCTGTAATCATGTAGATTTTATCATTTTTTTGGTTTCAATTTCGTCATTTGCAGGGCTCGAATTTCATGAAAAAAAAAGCACTAGACAACAGGTCTAGTAACTGAAGAATCTTACTGGACCTGAATTATTTTTACAAGACCTCTGTCATAAATTGATAAAAAACAACAAACGGAGCACTCAAATCACGCTATTAATCAGACCTCAACTGCTAGTATATTTGGGCATCATTTTGTTAAAGAGGTTGTGGAATGCTCGAAAACATTTCCGTCATTTTTTGGGTATACATGTATGTAGCCTAAGGTGTGATGAAATAAAACGACTATTGTGTCTGTCATGAAATGAGTACAAAAGGTACTTTTGAGAGCTATTTTTCAGGTCCTGTTTCGACCCGAACGTGCAATTTGTGTAAACGTTGTCGTTGCGGGCATCAAACAAAACACAGTAAATCGTGACATAATAATCAGGACTCGTATATGCTACTCTGCATCGGGAGTCCTGTTTATTTACGTCTCGATTTACTGTGTTTTGTTTGCTGCCCGCAACGACGACTTTTACACAAATCGCACGTTCGGGTCGAAACAGGCATGACAGGACTTGAAAAACAGCTCTCAAAAGTACCTTTTGTACTCGTTTTACGACAGAAACAATAGTCGTTTTTATTTCATCACACCTTAGGCTACATATACCCGAAAAATGACGGAAATGTCTTGGCGCATTCCACAACCTCTTTAAATACATGTACATGTATAGTGCAAGAAAAAAACACTAGACAGCCAGACTAGTGCAGTCATACAGTGCACTAGACCGACGCTGAAATCACTAGACATGGTCCACGGTCCATGGACCAGTGGGTTTTTCGAGCCCTGATTTGCCGTTGACCAGTGGCTTGCATCACATTGGTTAGTTGCTTCCACAACTTGTTTGCGATTTTACTGTTTCCCCGGCAATTTTTGAAGTTTGATGAAATTGTTACTAGACCGATCTAGGTCCAATTTTAAGGAGCTCTTATGTAGTCTATGGAATATCCTCTTCCCTTGCACAGCTGCAAGGGTCTATGATATGTGAGCAGATTTGGCGATTAATTATGCAAAACATGACTGCGTCGATCTTGACCTCGAGATTCTGACCATTCAGCAGGCGCCTTCTCTATTGGGTGTTCGGTAACCCGTTGTCGTAGACATCTAACAAAACCTACAAAATGTACATGATACGATAGCTATTGTGTAATGTTTTTACATTGTGAATTGTAAATAGGGTGTGTCACGCGGCCCGTAACGTATGTTACATGATGCACGAACATCCTTTGGCTTTGAGTGATCATCACACAATATTTTAGATAATGCGCGTAATGCGAACGCCCTGTTGTGTGTTCACGTCACGCCCACGATGAGCGCTCGCGTATTCAACTCGCGCAGCATTTTGCTAGCAGTTTCCAGAGCCAATTTTGTGTCTAGGTTTTATTAGATCTCTGTGCCTGTTGTTGTATGACAAAAACATGGCATCCCAATTGACCAATTAACAGCCGAGTCCACATTTCTGACGAAATGACATCACAATTTGCATAAACTTGAGTTGGCAGTGTAGGAATGCTCACTGAATGTGCTTATCCATTTATGTCACAATTTTTGTCACAATTTTTGTTCATACAAATTTTTTACAAAGGATCAATTTATAGTTTTTGTTTAAACAGGGTATTTCAAAGCAGCTTGTACATGTACATGTACACTAATACACTGTACATGCACATTGTACTTTGACAAGGAGTCATCCATTTTACAATGTACGTGGACAAATTTCTTGCAAGTTTGCATAATTTGCAAAGGAATTGGTCTGGGGCAAAGTCCGTACTAAACTAAGATTTGTACGTTTACATATTTTTGGAATTTTGGCGATTCACAATGCAGTGCGCCACCAAGAGTTTGCCACGGAGAGTCCATTTTTCGAGTTTACAGTCGACAAAACATGGCCCATTTGAATGAATGTCAGTAGACAACTTGAGCTAATTTGTTATAGATTGGGGCATAGCGTTCTGCCGCCTTACAAAAAACCCGCCATATTGATAAAAAGAAAAAAAAGGGCAAACAGAGATACTCGAAACATACGCTTACGAAGCTACTGACCGGAACAATTTCAAATGCCCCACGCTGCGAATTTGTGGACCATCTCCCACAATGCACTGGGAAAAATGAACTCTCCGTGGCAAACTCTTGGTGGCGCACTGCATTGTGAATCGCCCGAATTGGTAAAAAAAAAGAAGCTTGATATACATACATGTACATGTATTCTACTTTTTGTCTGCGTACATGCAGATATATTTCATGTTTTTCATGGATTTAAGAAATATTTTCTTGTCAATATCTCTGTTGAAAGGCTTGGATCCTAAAATTACAAGTCGATGAGGGACATTTTGTTTGGATTTGTTTCAGAATCATTCCAGATTTTCATTTTATTTCTTTGGAAAATGTTCACTGTGTGGGGGAAAACAGCCAAGAATGTACAGTTTGCAAGAAAGAAAAAAAGAGTATTTGGAGGAAAAATGTTCCTTATAAAAAATAGAACAATTTCATGTTTTGTATTACTATATTAATGCAATTATTTTAGTGCTTCAGTCTTTTAAGGTTCCTCAATGCAATTATTGTACAAAATGTATCTACAAAAGCTGACTTTCGCTCTGGCAAACTTTGGTTTTAAAAATTGTTTGTAGTGGCCCATTGCAAAGTTCTGTAATCACTTGTATGGGTTCCGGACGTAAGTAAAAGAGGCGCTTTTTGACCACTTTGAAACATGCTCGATTTCTATACGGTCGCTTCGCTCGTACCCGCCCTGCAAACAGGACACTGGGAAGGGCTGATGAATTCACGCTCTGATTGGATAGATTTTGCGCGACCTGTGACCTGCGCGTCATCACGGCCATGACCCTGCAAGGTTTTTAACGACCGTTAAGACCGACTCACTACTCTTTTATCCCCACTCATAAAGGCTTATTTTCGTTGAAAAGCGTAATAATGAAGGAAAATCTGTAAAACATAACTGTTTTGTACATGTTCAATTCCCGTCACTTGCTCAGGCTCCGTTTTGAATTCACGAAGGGTCAAATTGCATTCAGTATGGAATGCTCAAATTTGTCCACATGGTCCGCAGTGAAAAAGGAATCACATCCAGTATGGAATGTATGCATTTCTATGATAGAGTTTTCGGATAGCATTTGTGCGCATTGGCTAACCGCGGTCTTAAACAGCTGCAGCTGGATGTCTGTATACATAGGTCATGATAAGTTACCCAGAATGCCATCCCCACTTCCTTCACAAGATTCTGTAAAGCTCATCAGCCCTTCCCAGCACCCTGTTTGCAGGGCGGGGGGTACGAGCGAATACGGTCGCCCGGTGCATGGTGAGATCGGTCCGATTTTTCAGCGCACACCTCTCCGATGAGATGGCCCGGTGAACCGGTAAAATCTTAATTTGGTGGTTTGCAGAGCCATGTAATTTAACCCAAATAGCTTCGCATGATCTCTCAAGCTCTTCATTTCATTACTATTTATGCAAAAAAAATGTACAAACAATGGATGTACAGTGCTATAAATACGTGTACATTGTAGTATGGAGCCTGTATTATAATCGTTTGTAGGTTGTAACTTTTTTGTTCCAGTGTAAGATTTTTTTTATAGTTTTTCAGATAAACATTAGTGCAAGTTATATACAAGTTTAAATTAGCGACTGAGTTAATTACTTCTGACAAGATGATCGGAAGTTGCAATTTTATTTTGTGCCATTCACGTTACATCAGCATTGGAAATTGTAATATTTTTTTGTTTGTTTATAATGTACATGTATACTATAAAGTTCAATTGTAATTTTTGTTGCAGTGCTGTATTGAGTCCCCACAAGTTCAGTCAAGTCCTTTAGTCTCAAGTCCATTCAGTAGCTATTCAAATCAACTATTATTACCATATACAAATACAACATTGTTTGTGGGGAAATACATGTGTAGTGAAAACCAATGACCCCGAGGTGTTGAATGATTGGGACTTTTGCCTCAGGAGATAGTATACAAATATTGAATGCTTCGAGTGGTGAAGTAAAACTAGCCTCCCGAGGTGATCCATGGACATTCTATTTTCCCGAGGCGAAGCCGAGGGAAAATAGAATGGTCCATGGATCACCTCGGGAGGCTAGTTTTACTTCACCACGAGATAAAGCATTCAATATTTGTTTTATAACACTTCACCCACAGATTCTGCTTGATTTTAATATTTTAAATTATTTAATCTAAACACAGTTGAAATAAACTTCAATTTCAATACAAAATTGGTGGAAAATGTATTTCTCTCTTTAAAACTACACCTTCACGAAATGTTTGAACCCAACTCTGCGGTGCGCTCTCTTTGGAACAATACGCGCTACACACAATGCGCAACGCGAACACCAGCATCCATTTGCACACAAATACCGCGCCGTGGAAATAGTACTTTG